ATATCACTTGGTGTGTGACAAAATAACTTTAGTGAGACATGGGAGTTTCCTTTAAACTCCAGACAATCAATGAGTAAAGAATGGGATTAATAATTAACTTAGAACTCTTTGGCTGAAGTTTTAGTATCCTGGTACAGCTGATAGTGAACTAAACTGCAAACACATTTAATAGCAATTAAAACATGAACAAGCAATTATCTGTTTTAAGACTCAGAGTTAACAAAATAAACAAGAATGTAAAACTTAAAAAAAATCAATTCAACATCAGTTATAAGATAATTTGGAGTTCAGTGTAATAACAAATTACTAGCTGCAATTAAAAGTAAATGGTACTGGCCTGTACACTTAAATAATATTCATCTATATACAGTATCTGGCAATTTAGCTACCTAAACATATCCATACATACTACAGTACTGTACCTATCTATCAACATAAATCAAGTTATTAGCTAACTATGTCTACCTAATACATATTTTCATCCATATGAGTAAAGTAAAGGTAAACTGTTGACTGAAGTTCATAGCTTTTATAGTGAGAGAAGCCTGTCGTAAGAGTATGTCGGGAAATGGAAAATTGGTTCCCAGTAAATGAATGTCTGTGTCAGGGGTGGGTAATGTTACCATAGTTATTCAATATTTTCAGAGATAAGAGAGCACAGGAGATGCAGGGTAATGGAATTGAAAACAAAAATACAATACTGCATTGGTGAGTGATACAAGTTTGGTTAACGTGAATACAAGTTGAACCTCCCTAATCCGGTACTCTATTGTCTGGCACCTCTCGTCGTCCGGCTGATAGTACCCACTGGCGCTAGTATCCATGGCTCGGCATACCCTTTGTTTACATCTAGTCCTCGTGGAGTTTGGTGCCTTCCTTGGTATTTCAAGTGTTTCTGTAATATTTCACTTTTTATTTACCCTTAATATGCCTCCTAAGCGACCAGCAGTTGTTACTGGTGCAGGAAATGCTTCCAAACGCAGCAAACACGTACCTATATCGATACAACAAAGGTGGAACTGTTGAAGAAACTGGACAGTGGCGTATCGGTCCGTGCATTATGTGAAATGTACAATGTTGGATCATCTACAGTGTATGATGTCAAGAAGCAAAAACTTCAAATCCTTAAGTTTTAAAGTGAATCTGGCACAAAGAGTACTGTATGTGGATATGCATAAAACACTGAAGGAAGGGAAAAACAATGATTTAGACAGTGCTCTTATACAGTGGTTCAAACTGTACAGTTATTTCATTTTCATATTTCTTTCTTTGTCCTTTTGCATGCATATTTACTTATATCATTTACATTAAAACTGTGTGACAACAATAATCCTATGTATTTTACAAAGATCACCTGTGGTTCGGAAAATTCTATAGTCCGGCACAGGTCAGGTCCAAAGGGTGCCGGATTAGGGAGGTTCAACCTGAACTACAGTATTGTATATGCAAATAGGATATGATGCAGTTTTCATTTGTTGAATATACAGTACTACTCTGGTTGATAATTCAGATGAAAAGTTACATACAGTATGTTAGTGAGTGGAAGTGTGTACTTAGTGAAAGTTAATGTGAAGAAAAGGTGATGAAAGTAAAGGGAGAAGAGGGACAGGGGAAATAAGTGTTAATTTGAATGGAGATAAACTGGAAGAAGCAAGTTGTTTCAAATATCTGAGACTAAGTATATCAGGGAATGGAATATGGGTAAAAAATTAAATTATGGAATTGGAGAGTGAAAGAAAGTAATAGATGTACTAAGAAATACATAGGGAGAGAATGCCACATGAACAGAAGGTGATACTAGGATGTATAGCTGAAGTATTGAGGTGACATTACTATGCAGGAGTGCAGTATGGATTCTGGGTGCAGGATGAAGAAGTTAATTAGTAGCCACAGAAATTACATGCTTGAAAGAAGTACAGTACAGTATGTAGAGAGAAAAGGAAAAAACTAGACATATGGAAATAAATGAAGTCTCTGATATGAGCATGGTTTACTAAAGTGGTGTGGACATATTGAGAGAATGGGTAACAAAAGTACAGTTCAGAGGGAGATGATAAAAAGAACAGGGAAACATCATGGCATAAATTGATGGATTGGGTGAAGAAGTACTGTGTGTGGGGAATGGATATCTAGGAAGCAGCAGTACATGTGAGTGATAGGAATACTTAAGATCAAGTGGTCTATGGGGGATGTCACAGCAGACAAAGTGATTAAATTAAAGTGAGTGAAAGAAAAGTCTGCAGTTGCTCTTATTCTAGCCATCCTGAAGCATATTGAGAAAAGGCTTACAGGATTAAAAAAAAATCCATGTATCAACGTTTCTGTTTTCTCAAAATAATAGGTTGGATAGGTAACCTGTTTACAAGAAATTGTAAACCACAATAAATCCAGTTATCCACAACTTATGTGTAATGAGAGATTGTAAGTCAAGACTTCTATTTTTCTGAGGTAATGCACAACTCCATTAGCATTTTAAGTACAGTATACATACTACACCCAAATTTCCTTAGACAGAAAGAGAAACAATAAATATATCTATCACTCTCAACAAAATGAGGTGGAAGGGGAAAACAATTACAAAAATACAATACAGTCTCTCCTAGACTTACGACGGGGGTTCCGTCCCGACGACCAGGTCGTAAGTCGAATTGGTCATAAGTCGAAAGGGCGCAAAATAATATAGACATTCCAAAATGGGTGTCTCTTTTTCTTCTCAGCACCATGAGAACTCTCACTTTTACGCTTGCCAGCCATTTTAAAGGGAATTACAAACAAAAATTTTGTCAGTACACAGCGCGATCACTAACGTTGGGAATCGAAAATATGTAATGTGAAAAATATTTTATACGACCATGGCCGTCATATGTCCGAGTTGTCATAAGTCGAATATGTCGTAAGTCGAGGAGAGACTGTATATTACAAATACAATACAGTAAATCATAAAAATACAATAGTACTGTACAGTAGCTAAAACAACTATCTGTGCATACTTTGTGGGAAACAATATGAGACCATGGAGGATAAATTTTGGTATATAAGGGCTTTCACTAGTCACACGTAAAATTTCGGAGCATATCAACCCCCACCTGCACAGATAGTTGTTTTATCTACTGTACAGTATATTACAAAATAGGATAAATCACAAGAATACAAATAATCACAGAAAATTAAAAGGCATGCTTGTAATGTAGAATCAATATACTGTATATCTGCTGGTAAATCTCAGAGACTAAAACAATTGTCACATACTTCAAATTGAGGTGTAACAGATTGATGATGGGATAAAAATGCAAGAAAAAAAGTGGATCATGATGCCTCAAGCTGGAAATAGTAGTTAAATTAAGATATGTAACAAGTGGTCATGCCATTATAATAACATTATAGGTAAGTGTATCAACAACATTTGGTGTGGGTTCACCTGTTTGGCTAAGAAATATACCTTACAATTTGGGTCAGTGAGTCATGCACAGCAGTAACATCATCCTCCTTTATATTTCCCAAGTTTATTAAGAAAGCCAGGTTAACAACTACTATATTACTGATTATTGGTGCCTGTGTATTTGGATGAATACAGTAGTATTAATGAAAAATGGCTGAGAAAATTAAAAGTTAATATAAAAATTATTATATAATTATGTATACATAACGTCTTCAATTAGACACACAACTTTATACATATCAAAATAATTATCTAAAAAAAATATCAGTGACAACAGAGGCCTTTTATCAAACAAGTGTACTCCATTCTTAACTATAGTCTGTTCACTTGAAGCTTTGCAAATGAAGCCAAGGGTCAGTTTGTAGCAAGGCAGCTGATTGGGTGACAGATGGACGCTCGAATAGTCACTATATTTCTTTAACATTTAATCTATCATATTTATATTCTGATATTTTAAGGGTTAATAACTTTTCTGTGTTGATTTCTGATAATTTCTGTACGTCGGGAAGCAAAAATTCACTAAGTCAAATTTTCACCTAACATTTTTTATTTATTTTTTTAACACCAATCTTTCTGTATTCAAACACAGTTTTCTACATAAACAGGTTAACAGGAGAGGAGTTTCCAATAATGTGGTTTACAAAATGATGACAACTGCAGGCTTGCAATTGAGGCCTAGGGCCAGTTTGTAGCAAGACAGCTGATTGACTGGCAAATGAACACAGGAAGTCACTACAGTACCTTAACATTTAATATAGCATATTTATATTCTGATATTTTAAAGGGTAATAACTATTCAGTGTTGATCTCTAATAATTTTTGCACTTGGGGAAGTAAGAATTAGCATGTGAAACACACTGGTAACATAAATATCTATAAAAGAATAAAAAAAAAAAAAATTCAGTGACATCCTCCACTGTGCTGCTTGACATCACATGGCGGGGCAGGGTTTACATCCCAGAATTTGTTCATGCTCTCTTCAAGATATTGATGTTCCCAGAGCCTCAGTTGCAAGATTCAAGTGAACAGACTATATAATACAGTATCTCTTTCAACAGGTACTATACAGAATGAGCATCAGGATAAATTCCTTCACACTGAGTTGTTGATTTGTGGAACAGTCTATCTGCAGAAGTGGTGGAAGCAAGAACAGTACTGGGTCTCCAAAAATTCCTGGTCAAAGAATATCAAGAACAATGGGGAATACCTACAAAATCCATCACCCTTTTCCCCAACATGGCATCACTAGTTGTGATGGCCATTGAATTAGCAAGGTAGGAAAGTAAGCAGTAGTCTTAAATTTTCTAATATAGAACATCTTTAATTTTAATTTTTTTAATAAATATTGTAATTCACATTAAAGCTTAAAACACATTACAGTTACCACTAAAAAATTATCATAATTTAAATATACTCTATATGTTATGACATCAATTATTATTCATTACAATGACTGGCATTGCCATAGACTTTCAATGGAGAGGAAGGGATTGTCACTACAGTGTGGAAACCGTAAAAAAAAATCATTACAGTACTATAGATGATCTCTGTTGTCATCAGAGCACTTTGTGCATATTTTCATTTGGCTTTTTTTTTTAATTACTGTATGTACAGGTATGTCCGACTACTGTTACAGTGCATGTTTTTATTTAATCTCTTGTATTACTATTTTTAATTTTTTTTTATTAATGCCATTTACAGATCAGATCAGATCTTAAAAGTATGTCTTGTATAATTAAAAAGAGAAAGTGCAGTTTTTAAAACCTCTAGGTATTCACATGCCCCAAAGACTTTGGTCTTGATTAGCTACATATTCGTCATCCTGTAAATCTTGGTCTAACGTTGAAATATGTGGACCCAAGTCATCCACATCCAACTCCTTTTCAAACATCTTCTGTAGCAAAACCTCCACATTTTTAAGCCCTGAAAATATATAGATAAAAAACTGGTAATGTGAAGTAATGTAGAATGTTTAAATTTTCAATCTGTACCATGTTATCTGCAGACTTTGTGTGGAAAAAAAAATAATAATGACATTAAACTTATGACAAAAGGATATGGAGCAAAATTTTTCAAACTATTTTCTGCTATGCAACAGGAAGGCTGGAAATAAGAATGAAAACACTTTCTCCTTCATTCATTCACCCACGCTGCTATGACTTCCCCACCCTGCTCTCTTAATCATTTGCATGTCATGTTGCTTCCTTCATGTCCATCACCCTCACTTGTAGTACAGGGTACTCCTTTCACCATATCTCTCCAACTCATTCTTAAGTCTTCTCCTCTCTCTTCTGCCATCTATCTCTGAATTATACACTTTTTTAATAAACTTTTGTTTCTCATTCTCTTAATATGTCCAAACCACCTTAACAAAACTTAGGCACTGTATCACTCTTTCCACACCTATCTAATTTATGTACTATTTTTTCTCTGTATCCATTTCATCATGCATACAAATCATTTTCGATAATTTTTCATTTACTACCTTACTCTTTCTGACATCCACAGTCAATGCTGTACTCCCACATACTGTCAGCTAAACAATTCCTTTACATCCCCAAATCTATTTCCCCTGAAACAGTTCTTTCTTTCCATACTGTACTTCTCTTGAAGCACTTTATTCCTTACAATCTCTTTCTCCATTCTTTTACATTTACTTTATCACCTTCTGTATCATTAGCAAATACATACACTCCCAGATATACTGTAAAATGTTTGTTGCACGGTCGCTGTGGGTTTGTAAGTGACGTCAGTGATAGGTTGACAATGAAGGCACATAATTGGCTGCAGTACTTGAAATTTCTGCACTTTCTACCTCAACTTCAGATTGGTTGACTGAACCATGGCAATTTCTTAAATGATTGGGAAAATATGTTTTACTTTACAAACTTTGGTTAAAATTCACTCATGTTAAAGTACAATATTTTCTCTTATAATGTACATAAGTTAAAGTAAAAACACTATGTTTCACATGCTCTTCTGCATCACACAGTAGAGCATGGGAATCAGAAAAGCATGGCATTATTGTGAAGTTACAGCAGATAAAGCGGAATGAATGAAGGCAAGTGAAAGAAGACTGAAATTATAGCTCTGATATGTAATGTCAAATAACAATTTACCACTAAGATCTTAATAACCTCTGTAAAAAATAAAGACCCCTTAAGTCATTGAGTGATGTGAAAGACATACACAGTACTTACGTTTTGATATGTGAAATCGAACATCTGTTTCACTGGAGATATCTTTGTATCCTGTATAGAAACTGGAAGCCCCTGGAGTGATCCTTCCATCAACTGTAGATTCTCCCTCATTGAATGGTCCTTCTCTCTCATCTTCAGAGTCAAAACTGTCTGAATCTGAAACCACCAAGTCCTCCTCACTCACTGTGGCTGCTTTTTGAGATTTTCTGAAAAGATTTATCATGTGTTGCCTTTAAATTTGTATGAGAGATTCACATCAATAAATGTGTAATGAGTCAATGACTACTTGATTCACTATTTAATTCATTCTTATGACTGATAAATTTCAATTAGTCACTGTTACTAGTTTCTTGAGTACAGGGTATTAACTTACATATAAATTCACCAGTCATTCAGGAGATTATATTAGTAATAAAAATTTTCAAGTACAGTCAACCCTCACTTTACGCGGTTAATTCAACCCACAGGGTACGGAAAGTGAGAAACGCGTAAAGTGAACAACATAACATGTGGGATTAATTGAAATAGAGACCGGGCCGACCCCCAAACTCCACTTTTTGACGACACACAACTATGTTGTATTAAAAATTTTATCTTAACTTTATGATGGTATGTACACACAATTAATAATTAAGAGAAATATCAATAATATTAGGTTTTTTAACACTTACATTAGTAGAAAATATGGCTGGGCACACGGGGATGGGGGGTTGGTTCCGAGGCAGAGGGCAGATTATTGGCCCTCACCTGTATCACTTGTATCAATTGTATCACTATCCACCACAGAGGCTTGCAGGGCCTCTTTGTCAAACCCCTCAAGGTCCATATACTGTAAGTCCATATCCTCACTATAATTATCACTATCACTGACTTGGACCGGCTGTGGTGGGTGGCGGGTGAAGAACTCGGAAATGTTTTGATGACTGGGCGACCTTGTGCGCACCCTGCTCGCGCCGCTTACACAACATGGCGGATGGCGGGAGGTTTGGATCCAAAAATGGCGCGGCTCACCAGCCGCTCTCCGCGTAAAGGGGTACACGCACCGCGGAATGTGAGCATCCTGGTTTCGGCAGGGTACCGCGTAAACGTGGAAACGCGGAATGTGGGACCGCGTAAAGCGAGGGTTGACTGTACAGTGAGTTCTGCTATAACGCGTGTTTTGATAACGCGAATTTGCTCTAACGCGATTTATGAATTAGGAACAATATTTGTATAACGCGAACGCTTGTTTGCTATAACGCGATTTTTGCTTACTATTTCTCCAATTTTGTGGTACAGTGGGGTATGCTATAACGAATCTAATTGGTTCTAGAACCTTGTTTGTTATAGCATTCGTTCGTTATAGGACAAATCCGTTCCAGGCCCCCAAATACAACCACTTAACACTGAAAAATATAATATAAAATTGTAAAAATTGTAAAAAAGTGCATAAATATGCATCTAAACCCCTGAAATAAAGAATATCATTAATATTTGTAATAGAAAAAACAATAAATTAGAAAAAAAATAAATAAATTAAATAATGTTCGTTGTAGGAGTTTCGTTCGTTATAGCATACCCCACTGTATTAACTGTGAATATAGTAAAGAATATCAACGAGAAGCGTTCTGGTGATAGAATTCCCGGTGATGATCGTAAAAGAAAGGATATAACACTTGAAGAGAAGCTCGATTTTATCAACCTCAAAATCACCCTTCTCCCCCATCAACTAAAGTGTTACATTTACTGTATGATTTCATTATTAGATATGAATGTAACATTTATTTAGACTGTGCTATCCTTTGTATTAGGCTAACTGCTAAATTTTTTCGATTTCGAGTAATCTGCACCTAACCCTATTTTCTCCATAAGCCCTGTTATTTCTATTACGCGATTTTCTATAACACGATATTTTACATGAACACAATTATCGCGTTATAGGAGAACTACCTGTACTGTACAGCTGACATCCACCCAGCAACTGATAAATACTAATATTAGTACCTATAACTGAATAAGTGAAGTGTATTACTGTACCTGGTATTTTGACTAGAAGCCCACAGCTAACTTGTCTCTTGCACCTGAACTCTTATGATATCTAAATTTACTTGTCATCACCACCTACCCAAATCTAGAGAAGCAGATTCAATTTTCAGTTCCAAAAGATTCCTGTAGACAGTGGTACAGGCTATTAGTACGGTAGTATTATAAAGACAAAACTGTTTATGGTTCTTAATCCTGAACCAGTTGTTTAACCTAATTTTTCACTGCTTCATTACCAATGGGCTTATGACAAACACTGATATTGTAAAACTCATCTGGATGTTTGGATAGTAAAAATAAACTTAGACTCGGCAGTCAGATGGCTTAATTGTATAATTAAATTCAAAATTTTTTATTAATGAAGCATAAAAGTTGTCCAACTGATGCATATTCTAACATGTCCCACCAACCAAGGCCTTTACCTTAAAATTAATGTTACCACTTACAGTAAACTATGGAAAGTAAGTTACTGAGATGTACACTCAATCCCTTTGTGATTGTAGAAGTACAAACAAATTTCCTCCAAAGTACAGTAATCATGTCAAAACAAAAAGGCTGGAGGCATTACACATGTATACTTTCAAAGCTTAGAGGAACAAAGTTGTGTTTTGGAGACTTGGTTTAAGGAGTCTCAGTGCCCCCTAGCTAAATAGGATGATCTCTATGACAATAAACTTCATTATACATCACAATGTCCCATAGCCAATGGACAGAGGCTATTCTAATTTCTGGAGCTGCATAAGCAATAGCCATTGTTCCTCGATTTACCTTCGTCACCTACAATGGTTTCCTACCCATTCTTCATCACCAATCCCTCTCAAACTGACCCTCACCTAAGGTACCTGCCCTTGGCTATCTGCTCCAGGTAAATCAATTTTAGAATGTCTTACTCGCATCACAAGCACAAGAAACACACATGAATGTCACTTACATACTAAGGCCTCTACCCTTTGGAAGTACAGTACAGCATATGCTGAAATTTTACTTGATTTTCTCTTTCAAACATTTGCTGATACAAACAAGGTCCCATAAAGCAAAACTTTAAATTTAAATTTTTTTAACGGGTATTAGCCCACCAGGTACAGGTCACCGACCTACATTGGGGCCTGGGGAGTGTAAAAATAAATAAATTGAACCAAAAGTAAATAAAGAAATAGAAAAAAAAATCAAGAGCGAGAAATGATATATATGTTGTCAAAGAAGGTGAAACAATTGAAACCCTGCAATTGTGTGTAAATGAGGTAGAAAGTTCGTTCGATAAGCAACCTGGGACTTGATCACAATTTTTGTGATGCCATATGGCAGCAGGGTCTACCACTAGACAACACATTATGCTTCCAATATCTTCCCAGGCAGTAGTACCTCCCTGTTTGATAGCTGCCTACTACCTTTACCTGATGACTTATTTTTACATTCATTTACTGTATTTTGTCATTCTATTTCTTCTTTTCTAAATTAAGTGATTTGGATGTACTGTAGTATATAAGAACTTGGACTATGATATAGTGGGATTTTAAACATTGTTCTGTGAGCACGGTATGCACATGGGATATGTGGTTCGGCTTAAGCACATTTTCGACTTAAGAATGTCTGTAGGAACGGAACTCGTACGTAACCCGTGGACAGCCAACACGAGGTTGAAGAAAACTAATTAAATTTTTGGTTTTTGAAGAGTATTAAATTACAGTTAATGTACAGTACTGTACTTACCTTCTGAGGCTAAGTCCCATTTCTTGGATCTTCTTCTCCATCTGTGACTCAAGGTTGCCCTGACAACTGGCAGAATATTCCAGGATAAACACCTCCAGGACAAATGCAGTGAAGATACTGTACACAAAAGAGGATATACTGTATTTATTTTATAAGGAGAAATGTTAACATAACATGATAATTATTAAAGGACAACTTCAGAAGAAAACTACTTTCCTACAAGACACCCAGAGGTCCCCTGGCTACTGTAAAAAACAGTTTTATATATAAAAGATCACTAGATATGCAACCACTTTTTCGAGACTTGTCAGAAACATACACAAGTTCTTGTAAAAAGTATCAAACAGTTTGTCAGGCAGCTATCATGCCATTAAAGGAAAGATGACTATCAGCCACAAATAATGTAAAATAAATAAATAAATAAAGTGCCATTACTAAAGGTATTGTAATTATCATAGTTACAGAAATTAAAAACAACTATTTCAATAATAATACAGGTAAAAAATTTTAACGTTCAAGCCTTTGCTCTCTTATTGGAGGGTGGCCAGAATAAAGAGAAAATGCCTGTACATTCACACATTCTCTCCTTCATCCATTCTTAATGTTGTAATAGATGTGGTCTGCTACAGTGCTCCCCTTGCACAACAAGGCCTCAATCTGATTTACCCTGTTGCTTCACACAAACCAGCAGTGCCCATCAAGTGCAAGGCCTTCCTTAAGTCACACAACACTATGCTCTCTACTTATTCACACACACATAAACACACTGCAGCTTCCTGGGTGTTTACTCATCTCACTTCTAGTGCATTCTTCACCCTATCCTTCCTTAGTCTTCCCCTAATTCTTCTATCATCTATTATCAAGTTTTATGTTCTGTTTTACCTATTATTTATTTCCCATTCTGTCTATACATCCATACCACCCTAAGCAGACCCTAATCCACTCTTTGTCCAAAACTGAATTGATTGCATGCTTACCGGTACTTGTATATACAATATGTCTAACCAATTCCCATTTCACTTTCCTCTTTCATTCTATAGTCGATTTTTTTTTAACTCATTGGTTCATACATAATATTCAATTATTATTGATATATCACAAATAAATCCATAAAAGACTGTTAAGAATACCCAATTCTGCCTCAATTTAAAGATGAATTTAATGTCTGTAAAGATAAAACTGCTTGAAAACATTAACTTTCAAGATACGATTGGAAAAAAATTTCAACTACCGTACTTACCATCGAAGTCATAAACAAATTCGCTCTTTCAGAGAACACCTTCACCACTACTTCTTCTCTTTTTGCCAATTATAATGTATATCAAGAAAAATTACAACAAATTTATAAAGCAAAAAATAATAATGAACATTTTATAAAGAGTAGTATCAAGTGTAAATACCATATACAGTACTGTATTCGCATAAAGGTGTTGTTTAAAACAAACATTACAAGGAGGTAGTGCACTTGGTGGAGGAACTGCTCAGCTGAGCGGCAATTGAAATACAGTACGTACAGGTATTTTTATTCAGGCTGTTCATTTTATCTGTATCAAAGGGGTGGGAGAGAAGTTTTGTTGTCAGAAGTCTCATCAAGAATTTGTATAAATATGTAAGTGCATTAACAGATCAAAGCGCGTGTTAACATAATATTTTATAAGCCATTCTCTCTATCTCTCAACTTCATTAAAATTGGAAAATGTGAAAAAACAAAACATATTTGTGGGAGAAATGTTTATTAAGGCATTATTTTCATTGTACATCAAAAATAAAATTTCATGTCTATCATAATATGTACAGTTGAAGACTTTTCCAGCTGTTACAATCAGTGTTATCAGTCCACCCTCTCCATTAGGTGTGAAACCAGAGAGCAACTACTCATGAATCTTAAGCATTCATTAGGGTGGGGGAGAGGGGGTACGGGAGATCATGGGGACCGTTTTGTGAGTGGGTAGCAAGTTATAGGGGTTGATGAGGGTGTTCAGGGCCAGAGGGATGGGAAAGGTTTAAGGAGTTATTTGTGCAGTTACAAAGTAGTATGTATTAAACAAGGATATAAATATGTAGGACAAAACACAAATTAGGCTTAGGATGTTTTACCGCACATAAGGGTAGTATTCCCAGCTTGTGCTACATGTTTAAGCAAAATATGCATATCTATTTATTTTCTATTTTTATGCAACTCTCACGTAGTCTAAGGGTGATAGGGGAACGAGGTGGAGCCTCAATATGGTGTCCTTTTATGACTGGCTAACTTTCATGACCCAATAAATAATGGATGTATTTGATTCTACATGTAATTATATTAGCATCAAATTATTAATATTATTTAATTTGCAATAAAAACATACCAAAGAAGTTGAAAAACTATCTCCCCTTAACATTCATCTTAAATGACACCTTTACGTGAATATGTGGTGTTTACACTTGATTGTACTCTTCATAAAATGTTCATTACTATCTGTTGCTTTATATATTTGGTGTCATTTCTCATTATAAATGTACATTATAATTAGTGAAAAGAGAAGAAGTAGAGGCTAATGTCTTCTCCAAAGCATGAATTTGTTTGTGACTTCAACGGTAAATATTCTTTATTTCAAAAGTTTTTTCCACTCATATCTTGAAAGCTAATATTTTCAAGCAGTCATATCTTTACAGACTTTAATATCAGCATTAAAATGAGCCAGAAATGGGTATCCTAAAAAGTTATATACGAATCTACTTGCAATGCGATATCATTATTAATTGAACATTACTGTGTATGTGAGCCAATGAGCTGCAAGGAACTGTAAAGAGGGGGGGGGGAGGGGGGCTCTTAGCCTATTAACATCAGCTAAAAGAAAAAAAGCTATAGTCAGAGTAAGTACATTACTGTACATCTCTCCTAACTTTAATGTCTGACTTTACCATAAAGAGTGACAAATAAAGGAAACTATCTACTCTATTGTTATCTCTGAAACCTTGTTTCCTTCAGGATTTAAAGGATGGTCAAATAAAGAATCTTTCCCAAGCTTATTGTGCTGTTTCTTCAATCATGCCAGCATTTAAGAGTGTGGGTATTACTCTCTTGCAAGTGGAGTCAATATGCCCATAGTTCCACACAAATTGAAAAGTAAATTGTTTTCCCTTTATCAAGAGCACATAATATGAGTTGATTAAACTTATTGTATAGTTCTTGAAAAATGTCAGGAAAACCTAATGTTCAGGAAAAATACTATGAGAAAACTGGCATTGAATCATTCACCACATACAGTAGTACTAATATACTTTTAAAAAATAAACTGGATGAATAATATTTTTTATACACTACTGTACAGTTAGACCCCTGGCTTCGAGGGGTTGCGTGGAAATCATGTGTTGGATGCATGAGGCTGCAGCTGGGCAAGGCATCAGTAAATGTATGTCTATTGTTTAGATCACTGTGCCATCAAGCACTGTGTTTTGTTTCATAATCACTGCTTCCCAAGTGAATTATTGTGGCATCTAAAGCACGCAAAGGCAAAACAACAACACTATGGAGGCCAACTGGGAGAAAAGGAATGGCACATAAAACTCTACCAATTGAAGATAAACTGAAGATATGTGGCAAAATTGATGATGGGTTCTCCATGAATGTGATATATGAGGAATTTGGGCTGAAGTGGAGCACTTTTTATAACACCAACCAGATTGAAGTGTATATTAGATACAAGTGTAACTAAATATAAAGTGTAATCAAATATCAGTATAATTAAATATAAAGTGCAATTAAATATAAGTGTGAATATACAGTAGATGTTATAAGTGTAAGCAGCTCTCCATCGTCCTCCACCTCAAGATTCATCTGCTACAATTGAAGTAAGTGCTGTGTAAATGTTTAATGATAACTTTAATATTACAGTATTTCTTGATTTTTTTTTTCAGCAAAATGATGGTTGAAAGCACCTAGAGGGGAAGTTACACATAAGTCAGAATTGTAGATAACTTGGACAGCCTCAGACCTCATATAGTCTGACTTGGGGAGGTCTTACTAATACACAGAAATAGCACATCCACAGCTGGTGATACAAAGGAAACTTAAAAATACTACTCATAGATTATATATATCCAAAGGTCAAACAAAGAGAGTAATATTAAGAACAAAAAACTAACCTTAGGTTTGTGGTCAACTTACTTCAAAACTATAATGACACAGATGAGATGAAAGAACAAGAAGTAGAGACGAGCCCAGGGGTTGGTAACTGCTGCATAACCATAAGCAATAAGTAAGCACTAGTTAAGGAGAAATATCAAAATGAAAATTAAACATAAAATCCTTATGAAAAAATTGGTGAATATTTTTGCCAACTTTAATATCATATCCTCATTTGCTAAAGTGTAAAAAAAAAAAATAAACTACCAGACATAAATTGTGAACCACTGAAAATGGCTATATTGTAACTAAAATTACTTGGGCTGCCACTATGACCAGCAACCCTTCCAAAACTATTATCAACTCATCAGGTCAATGGAAAGTTATATTCCTACTGAAATATATGCTCTCTATTGTAGTGTATCTGATGATATTACTCAGCAAACAACTACCGTAAGATGTAGCATTCACTGGCAAGTTTGTCCACTTGACAAAAATTTTAGGCTAAATTTCACTCATCAGATGTTTTTCTCGACTTTGATCGGTTGATACATTTCATAATTAGCATACGCATGTATAATGACTGTATTTGTTTTTTTAACACCCCATTTTAAACCTAGGTTTTAATGTAATATCGTTACATTTAACTTAAACTCTGTAATTTTCTCTAAAAAATTTTTGTTTACTTTAGATAAAACAAGGTTTTTGTACACAAACTCTTGAGAAAGTATTAAAGACAAAACAATTCTTCATATAATCTACCGTACTTAGACTTCAATGTTGAAAACAATAAAGAATGATGCTGTAAAATCATTGCTCTGAGAGACACAAGTCTTCAGAATCAAGTTTTTTTAAGCAAGAATTATTAAATGTTAAGCCCATTCTTATAAATAAATAAGAATTCAGACATGTTCAACCCACAATTAGTTACGGACAAGAATTCAGACATATGTTTAAATCACTTTTAGTAATGGAGTGTGGAATAACTGCATATGAGCACAAATAAAACTGTAAATAAAATGACCCCCTCAGATTGGTGATATTTTCCAAGTAGCCTCTGAGTTAACCATCAGATTCAAAGCATAAGTAATCAATCTGTATGTAATTTTTGTACATGCTAAGTAAATTCAAGTATAAGGGGCTTACATTTACAGTGGTGTTGTCCTATACAGTACAACTCTCTAAAACCAGATGTAAAGAGCAGCACCTCACTAACCACCACAAGAATAAAGACATTAAACATTACTGCACAAGTGATTACCTACACTGCTGCTAATTATCCTGCCCCTACATGTTGTTTATGCAAATGTAAGATAATAGCATGAGAACAATACAGGTAAGGTATAGAATATGGGAAATTAGATAGTTTTGTCATATAATGAGGGAGGAAGAAATAACAGTATAAATACTAATGAGTAAAATTGAGGGTAGGAGGACTAAAGGAAGGTAAAAACTGGGATAGATGAATATAATTAAAACTGTGATCCTCAGAAAGAAACAAAATCTGGAAGAATTGGTAGAGAGCTCAAAAATGCTTGCTGAGGAGGGCCATATTCACCAACCCTCAAACAAGAAGATAAAACTTTGATTGATTGAGTCATGTAAGTGGTATTCAATGAATGATTTTAATGCTATAAATATTTCTTTATAGACTTTTATAATATTAAAGGTGGCCACATGAAGAATCTTGCTGGTTTAGCTATTATGTAAGTGAAGCAAGTAAACACGATCAAAAAGTATCTGTGCACATTGGGTCCATTAATTTCCTAAATGATCAATACACCTATGTTGCAATGTAACCACCAACATGAATAATGCTACACATTGTTTGCAAGATTAATCTATTTTCTTCTGAATGTGAATTTAATAAAAATGCTTACATTTTACAATAGCCATCACCAGTGGTGACAGATTGTTTTGTGCAAAATGTGCACAGATACTTTTTTTATCTTGTGTACCTACACTTTGTACTGAGAAGGACATTGTATGTGGAAGTAATAAACAATACCTTTCCAAGCATTCAGATACAGGAAAACACAAGTAGAAAAAATTTAATTTACTGAAATGACAATGAGTCAGTAAATGTCCAGTACTTGCCAACAACGTATAACAGAGACGTAACCAACCACCCAAGCGGCTAACATGCTGATCAGTGGTGAAGAGAATAAAGTAAGAAAAGTTGGAAAAGTGTAGCACCAAATTTTGAATGTAACCATAGTAAAAGGGAGAACAAGTGCATCCTCTCCTTGTTTAATGGTATTGTTCCCTTGGGTGACCAGGGTCATCTGGTTTTCTACCCTAAAGAATTTACTTTAGAATGTTAAAAAGATCCAGACACATAGTAATTACTCATCAGACAACTTAGGTGCTTCGAGACTATTCTTAAAATATAACCATAGAAAAGGATATCTTGCCACTGATTGACAACAGTAAGTTCAAACAGCACAATGAATGCATGGATGACATCATTGAAGTTGTTGTTGCAGTAGTGCTCATTCCAAAAATCTGAATCCTCCAATTTTTTGTTGCTGCAGAAGAGATCTGAGCCTCCATCTATATCATAGCCAGTAAACTTGACCAACCCTTGGAAGGACTCCATTCCCACCATGGCAAACATGTAATAGAACACCTGTAAGGGGAAGACACACACAATATACTGTATGTACTGTACTGTACTTTATGTTATTAGTTACACCAAAATAATAATCAAAGTATCATTAGAATTACCATCCACTAATCAATTACAGGTATCCCTTGTTTAACGATGGGGTTGTGTGCCTGAAATACCTAAAGTTAAACAAAATTATTGCTAAATAAGGCATAACAGCAAAGCACTGAGGACAGGTTGAAACAGCAGGGAAGCAAAATTGAATACAGTACTGTACTCCCAAATAATATTAATAAACAAGTTTGTGATAAATAGTTTTTAAGTTAAACAACTAATTTACTAACATATAAACAATGTGGTTCAGATTTAAATGATTTAGTGAGAAAAGGTGACCCTAATTCAAACAAATTTCAAATTGCATATATAAAAAAAGGACAAAACTTGCTTTGATAAACAATAAAATTGATACTGTACATTTGTACATAGCAATTCATAAAATAGAATAGCACATATTTTATGTACAAAAAATAGTTCCTTCCACACTCAAACAATCCTCTGGGCGACACGACGCAGCACAGCCGGGAAGTTACCTAGCTGACTCTGAGATGTGTATGTGTGTGTATACCGTGGCGTTACATCGAGGGAAGGAGAGAAGCTGGGTGGCGAGTCGACGACACAGTTACAAACCACTGCTTCCACACATACAATACATGCACTTCCCACACATACACACCCATGCTCTTAATTTTCCCTATTTTATAGTTTGATATTATATTTTCTTTATTTCTAAACTTGCCATCTCACAGGTCACCTCAACCCCAGTTTTTCCCCTTCCCAGTAAGTAAAGCTATCACTAAACCGAATTTTGACTTAACATTAAGTGAACTAATGCTAAACGAGGGATACCTGTACTTATCAATTATTATCCATAATAATCTATCAAGTCTATCCACACAGACAGTCCAATCACTAACCATAATGACCCCTCCATATGTTAAGAGTGATGGAACAATCTTGCTAATGGTGTGAACAATAACCTTGAATCGACTAACATTTCCAATAATCTTGACCAATCGCAATACTCTTAACACCAACAACACATCAAGGGACAGGCGGCTTTTCCTTTCTGAAATATTCAAGGAGGTTCAATATACAGTTCACATAACTTCTTCAATGAATTATGGTTGCACAGTAATCCCCTGCTATATCATGACCATATATATATATATATATATATAAAGTTTCCATTTACACATAAAAATCAGGTTACAATTATTTTTCCACTTTCTCCAAAAGTTTTCACAGCATCAGATGATGCTGAGATGCTGACACAGGCATCTCAAAGCTTTCTATACCAGACCTGGTCAGTTTATAAAGACAAACTAAATGCAACATACAGTACAGTTATGTATTAAGAGTGATTAACAAAGCTAAAAACATAATACATGTACAGGTATTGACTCTCAAATCTGGGTTCCTTGGAACCAAGACTGAATTGATTTTGAGAATTTTCAGGTTTCCTAGGCCCAGGTCAACTTTGTCACCCTAGGCCTACCAGTCAAGTTTTACTTCCACATACTTTATCTCTGTTGAAAGCTTGTTTTACTTTTTAATAATAAAATAATGAAAACATCATTGTATTGTACTCAATGCATACTTTATGTAAAAAATTGAATCCAGTGCACAGTATTTAGAAATTGAAAGTTCCCTATAAGCAAGGTAAATGAGTTTGTGATGCACGCAGGCTAAATGAACATATGATGATACACTATATGCTGTACATATACCCTCTACACATTAGCATTCACTGTCCACTCTCCTATGTACCATACTGTACACATGGTACTTTCACACTTATTGAATGTACAGTACAGGTATAGTATACAGTGGTCCCTCGGTTAATGAACGATTTGATTAACAAAATTTCAGTTAACGAATTAGCTCCCATAAGGATTTTCAGTTCGTTTCACGAACAAAACTTCGATTAACGAAATCCTTACGACAAACACGTTTTGTTGTGCGCATCAGCTGATCGGCCAGTCCGCCAATACAGTAATCAGTTCTATGTTTACATTCGTTTCCAGTGGAGTAAATATCAAGAAATTTGGTCTCTTGAATATTTCCGCATTTTTTATATTAAAATATTGGTCATTCCGAAATTTAGTTAACATATTGATAATATATACAACACAGGAGACAGTTTTTGTGCGCCAATCAGCTGATTGAATCACCCAACAACGCTTCTCAGTTTAACTTTGTTTACAGTGGAGTGAACATCCAGTTTGTTGGTCTCTTGAATATTTTTGCATTTTTACATTAAAATTATTGGTCATTCTGAAATTTAGTTAACATGTTGATAATATACAGTGCAGAAATTATAATGAAACATGAAGAAGGCATTAGAACCAATGCACTCTGTAAAGAATATGGCATGTCATCATTGACCGCCTCTACAATCAACTGTTTCATATGTAAACAAAGCTGCCGGGAATACGACATACACACCTCAAAGTAAGTTAAAATACAGTATTCTATTGTTTTTTATTTATTATTGTACAGTATACTTACAGTACAGTACTGTATTTAGTTTATATTTAATGTTTTGTTAATTCTATTACCGGTATACAGTGCTTTGTAAGTATACTTTGTTTGTGAGTTGGAACCAATTACCTAATATCCCATGGAAATAATAGATTCGGTTAAAAAAAATTTCGGTTAACGAATGACTCTGTGGAATGAATTGTGTTCGTTAACCAAGGGACCACTGTACGTAACTGTAATCACTTTTTACGTCTTAACACTGCTTTAACAGTATTCTTGGCTGATTATATGTTGGTACAGTAATGTAGAGTCCTGCACAACACATATCGAAGGTAAAAACAGCAGTGAGAGAGCAAATAAGCTTGTACAATGGCTGCAGACAATGAACTAAGAGTGTCATGATGCAAGAGTTTGAGGAGATTGGCTGTGAGATACATCAGACAATCACAGGCAGCCCATGCAGTCACATAAGAGTAGTACAGTACTGTAGTGGCCAATCATAGCTCATGAGCACTCTGAGCCCACCCTCCTACATGCATGACACATATCACTGCATCGGTAACATGATGCAATCCCTCAAAAATTTGTTCCCATACCCAGAACGGATAGATTTTCTTGGAATTTTCAGAATTGCGCATGATGCAATCACCGGAAATTAATTCCTATGCTCAGAATGGCGAGATTTTTTCCTGAAATTTCTCAGAATGCTAAAAAAAAAGTTCTGGCTATTGAACAGTTCTGGGATCGAAGATTCTGGCTAATGGAGAGATTGCACCAGCTGAGAGGAAACATTTATTATACAAAATCTTTCCATAGATTATCCATCACTTCGAGAAATGGAGAGACAGTAACAATTCGTCAGGCACTGACCCCTCTCCCTTCCCAAAAGATAAGTTGAGGTGGTAGTGGTTGATTCCATGTCTGCAGGTGTGTGCATGGTTGCTGCACAATGCACATCAAGGCCCATTTTATCTCTTCTGGTGAGCTGTGCTGAACTGAGCAGTCACCTCTAAACTCTGTGTCTTCTGTTTCACTTTTTAGTGTCTGTTGCCTGATGCTACCGGTTTTCTTCTTGTCTTTCAACTCAGGTTGTTCCTTCTTAACCGATGAGGTAGTGGGGGAAATTTAGGGTGATAGGGAATTATGACTGTGTACACCATGGCAGGCATACCATGAACCAAGACCAAAATTTCCCTGCAAGTTTAAGTGCCACCAATGTCATGGATTTTGTGGTCTTGCAATGCAACCTGTATTTTCCCCAAGTCAAAGATCTATGAGTATCATAGCTATATCGTGGTAGTTATTGGGACACAAAGTGATGAAATAGTAGGCGTACTGCACTCTATATTACCTTTTTTAATTATGCATACAAGTTAGCTTGTTTGTCGTTGGAGATGATCAGTCTCTACTATAATTACAAACACCACAACAATTTTTATTTGAGCCAATGCATCTTTGTTAAATGAAACAAATTAAGAGTGGTACAACTGGAAAGACAATAGGGTGAAAATATAAAGACAAAATGTTGAATCAGGTTCTGGATATCTGGTAAAGATGGATATAACCTAGTACCAATAATAAAAAAAAAAAAAATAGACATCTGGTTAAAGATATTAATGAAGACCAAAGTTAGTACAGTACCTTGTTGATGTCACACTGACCTGTTTCAATGATGGCTTCCACAATTCCCAAAACGAAGGCTGATCCTATTACTACAATGTCAAATCTGCAAAAGATTTTTTTTTTTAATAAATTAAGTCACTTTTGTGATTTAAAACACATAAACACACACACAGAGTCATGCCAGCTAACAGGGCACTTGGAAGTCCTACATCTAATGACCAGTTACCATTTTTTTAAAATGAGTTGGCAATAGAATGAGCTTCCAGCATAAAACTTACTTCATATTTGCCTAATGGCAACTGGGACATCATACCATCAGGTAATTTAGGCTAACCCACACACTCATGGAATATGGTCGTAAATCGGTGACGATGAAGATGAAAAAAGTGTGTCCTGTGGAAATATTGAGAGTGGGGAGTGAAAGACTGGTAAAATTAAGAAAAAGGGAAGGACATAGAGATGGAAGGATGGGGTTCAAGATGCACTAGAAGTGAAGAGATGACCAGAGAACATGGGGGAAAGTGATTTTGGGGAAAAGCCAGCTATTGATGGATGACGAATGAGTGATGGACAGCAAGTGAATGGGGACTGTGTATCTGTATTTACTCTTGACTCTAGTCATCCTTCATCATAGTTGGAAAGACTAAAAGTGGAGAAAAAGCTCAACTCTATACAGGTACAGTATCTCTCATTTAACGATGGGGTTGCATTCCTAAAATACCCAACGTTAAGCAAAATTATTGCGAAATGAGGGATAACAGCAATGCATGGAGGGTGAACAACAGGTTCAAATGGCAGGGCAGTAAACACTGATTACAGTACAGTATTGTACTCCCTAATAATAAAAATAAATGAGTTTACCATAATCGGTTTTGAAGTTAAACAACTGATTTATTAGCACTAAACTTCTATATAAACAATGTGGTTCAGAGTTAAATGATTTATTGAGCACAAGGTGAGCCTAGTTCAAACAAATTTAAAATTGCATACATCAAAAATGAAAAGCATTTCTATGATAAGTAATAAAATTGAGACATAACATATCATAAAATACAATAGCACATATTTTATGTACAAATAATAGCTCCTTACACACTCGAACCATCCACTGGACAATGCGCCACAGTTCATCTGGGCGGTCACCCAGCTGACTCCAAGATGAGTGTGTATCCTATGACATCACATCAGAGGAGGGAGCATGGCTGCGCTGGGCTGGAGACGCAGTTAGAACCCACTGCCTCAACGCATACAGTACATTCACTTCACACACATACACACCCATGCTCTTCACTTTTATTATTTTATAGTTTCATATATTTAGAGTACAGTACAGGAGCTCCTCTACTTAAGAACGAGTTACGTTCCTGAGGCTTGTTTGTAAGTCCAACTTTACTCTTGCAGATACCAAACATATTGTAAAAAATGAAAAGATTATGTATATTTAGTACAGCTATACCCTATTATACAGCCTTAAAACCTGGCTCACTCTTCTCCTCTTAGGTAATGTTTGTTCTATCTGGAATTTTCTTCAAAATAATCGTCTCATCCACATGAAACACCTGTTCTGACAGGTAACCCCCCTCAGTGATGATGTTTGTATCTCTGAAAGTTTGTAAGTTGAATGTTCTTAAGTAGAGGAGCTCCTGTATTATAATGATTTTTCCACAACTTTTATAGTTTCATTACTTGCAACAATAGCAACATGCCATCTTTTAGGCCACCTCATCCCCATTTTTCACCCTTTACGGTAAGTGTCCCCAAAAATTTTATTGCTAAACAAATTAACATTAAGTGAAATAACACTTAATGAGGGATACCTGTAATATTTTTTTTTAATTTTTAATTTCAGAATAATTCAAAGTCAGACCATAACAGCACACTTACACGTTCCACATGTGCTTGAAGTAACGCCTGACACCCATCACGTAAAGTTTGAGGAGGATCTCCATCATGAAGAAGGAGAGGAAGAACCACTCAGCTGAGTCATCCCAGGTAGAATAGGGGGTTGCTATGCCAATCACCACAGCATTAATCAGTGTCAATATATCAAAGAACACCCGAAAAAGCCTGCAATAAAAAAAAAAATTGTATCACTTCCCTAATTATCAATCTGTAATTCTAATTAAAATTCATCTACATACATACATACATACTAAACTTGCATAATGAATTTATAGAATAAATATCATTATTATTAACACCTTAACCAGCAACCAAGGCTTATCCACTCTACACCTATATGCACAAAAATGGAATAAAAGGAACATGAAACATCCAATGATGATAGCTGCCATTTAGGGGTTAACAAAAGACAAATGAGGGTCAAATTAACATGATAACCTGGCATGAACACTCACAACATTGTCAAAGTTAGCCACCTATTATCTGAGTACCACCTGTGGGATGATGTTGCCTTTAACTACACTTTCATTTATGGCACTGCTGCATGATTATAAAACTTTCCTTTCCTAAAAAAAAAATATTTTTTTGTAAATGACACAAAAATCCTGAGTAGAGAGAATGAATTCCTTTTATCAGTTGGTTAAGAAAAAATTATGAAAATACTCACTTGTGTCTCACAACACGACAAAGAAATTTTGATGGTCTGGAATAGTAAACAGATGGAAAGTAATGTCCAATAAATGTTCTTCGATCTACCACCTCGGACACCTCCACATTTAATAAGTCAGCCAACTTTAGAAACTCCCATTTTTCTGTAATCAACAACAATTTGAAATATAGAACAAAAACTAATATAATTTCCATATAGTGTGTATTGTATTATCATTAGCCATTAGGACATTAAAACTTACAAACATGCAGACCACTGAGATACAAAAAACTGTTCTAATATAAACTTTCTAACTAATTCACAAGCAGGTGGTTCTCCATTTATCATTTGTAAGTTCTAAAGTCTAAGTAACTTTCCAACAGAAAACATTGAGGCATTGCATGGGGAAACTAGCACTAGCACCATTCTCATTTTTTGTCAGGAAATGCAATCAAAGTTTGCAACATTCAGAAATTGAAAACACGGAAAGTATTCTAGCTAGAACGTTGCAGTTTGTTTTAAAATGAAGCTGAATGTTTGTAAATTATGCAAATAATTTTTTGAAATTATATTGTTAACCTTACCTAACCTTTGATGAGATGAGATTCGGACCAGAGTTAAGTTTTTATCTATGGACTTTCAACCATATGGTCAGTGGCATTTTTGGACTTCATCCATCACCTCATGAAAAAAGGGCATTTGAAGAACCGTTTGCAGGCATACACATGATTGTGGCCTGGGTGGCGCTCGTGCTAGTTTCTCCAGGCAACACCTCATATACAGGTACACCTATACTCTATGTGTCTTACTTTCTCAATTCTATCTATAATGAAATTCAAAAAATATAATAATTGGTCTCCCTACTGTGCTTATTTCCACTACTGTAGTTTACTTTTCACATTCACACACACTCTTTCAAGCTCATTCACTAACATTTGTAATTTTTCATCTGAGTGGCTCATCTGAGCAATGTTATCAGCAAACAGCAGCTGATCACCTACCATTTGCTTCCTGTATTACTGTTTAACAAAAGTTCTCCTCTTACTCCTAAGCCATGAAATTATTGAACCAGGTCAACATTACATATCCTTGATGTAGGTCTGCTTTCACTGGGCACTAGTTCCCTCTCCCTGATATAACCTGACACATCCTACACTCCCCCTATAAACAATTTCTAGTTCCACTACTTTCTGAATTCTCTTTCTTCAAAACTTTTCACTTACATTCCTGTGAGCAAATACTGGTTATGTACAGGTCTAAATTATCATGACTGAGAACTGGTTGCCAATAAAATATGTCTTCCTATACCCTGAACTGTACAGTACTACACAACATTTTCCTCTGCTACTCTAATTCTTGTAACCTATGTTAAGGGTAGAATAGGGCACATATGGTTCTTCAAACACTTCAGTTAACCAGAATCTTTATTCTTTTTGGTACCAAAGACTCAGAATAAAATAAATACTGTGGAATTATGAGTAGTGATTTGACTATCACAAAAAGGGAAACAGTTGCCTATTTCTTGTTCACAATATAAGAAGTTCTGAAGAAGTAAGAAAGGGAATCTAAAAAAAAAAAAAGCTAAAAAAAGATTGAAGAATGTATGAAAGAATGGTGGACTGACAAGCATGAATAAACGTTTTGTATCATGTGCAACTGTCTAGGTTAGGTAGTCCTCCAGTACATATAAGTTCACACCAGTTATCTGGTATTTCACCACTTATTGGTTAAGAACAGTTAAGATGGTCAATTCTTTGTTACAGTACTTTGTTATATCCAGTGTTAGTACAGGAGGAAACAATACCCAGAAAAACCCTGCAATGTTTGGTAAGGTCACACTGGTTAACACACTTTTCCTATGTCCCAGGGTTGAACCCAGGACACAATAGTGAGAGATATGTATGTTACTGCTGTGCCACCAATACCCCAAAATAGTGTTCCACCCAGTTATGTCACTAATTTTATTATGTTGCCACTACTATACCTATATTTTAAAAATGTATATCTGTTTGTATTTATCCATCTAATTAAGTTTCTAAATTTGATACTATGTAAGATCTGCCTTAGCTGGCAGTGGAGGATGGTGTACTGAATATTGACGAAGATAGCAGAACATATACTGTACTGTATATGAGGATGAAAGTTCAGGAAAATTCAAATAAGGGAGAAGAGAGTAATAAAATACAGTAGATAAATAAAATGAACAGAATTTGTAGAGCTGTCCAGTTTGGAGTACACCACCAAATGTAAGTACAGTAGATAGATACTGTATGTTGTGAGAATGAAGCTAAAGAAAACTGATGAAAGGAAAACTACAATCCTAACCTAACATATCCAACCTGAGCCTAGCCAAACAAGGCAAGCCAATTTATCTGAATTATACCATCCTTAATCTTTAATAAAAAAAAATAGTAAAGAACATCAGTACTACTTCAAAGCTTATCATCAAAATACAGGATGTCTCAAAAATATGTAGACAGTACACATTCCTTTGCAGACTTTTATGGAGATTGGATCAATGCTTGTACAGTACAGTATTACAACAGCATCTTTGTCTTTCCTTGTAAGGATTCATGTGATTCCACAACAATTTGTAAGGTAGAGCATATATTTTTTTTTAAGACACCCTGAACTTTTCCTATCTCTGCTTATCTATTAAATAAACAAAAAATAAAGTGTGTAAATTTACCCAAAGAATGAGAGCCATCTGTGTCCAGTACAATCCAAAACACATTGATGAGTGCTGGGTTCTTCTGACTATCCAGAAATCGCATGAACTGCACAAATCGGCTTCTTGTTATTATCCTCCTATAAGATCAATAAACAAAGTTAGCTTTGTAAGGAAAACATAAGCAGCACCAAGTTACTATTAATTTTTTATATTTTGTAAAATAAAAGAAATATATATACAGGGGGTCCCCGGATTATGAATGTCCGATTTACGAACGAGGTCCTATAAGGTCAATTATTTTAAGAATCCGACATTGGTACAACTGATTCGTAGTACAGTGATCCCTCGGTTAACGAACGCCTCGGTTAACAAATTACCTTCCTTAAGAATCTTCAACTCGGTTAACGAAATCCTTACGCCTTCCACAATAACGTTTTCGACAATAACGGTAAGTTACAATAGATACCCATTTTCGATAATAACGTCTGGATTCTCTTGAATAACGGAGATTTCGCGGGAAGCGTCGGAGTGCATCAAAGATAGCGTTTGTTTGCCGCCATGTTGATGACGTAGTTGTCCACTCCGCCTCACTCTCACACACGCTCCGTGGAATACAGCGCTGTGCCCACATGTGAGATTTTCGCCTCTATAACCAGTGGTTGCTAGGGTCGATGATCAATAATGGCTTCCGCATTTGTGCCTGTGGGGATTAGGGGAGGTGGTGGAGGGAGTGATTTGCCGCCTGAACGCCCGGGAACTTTTAAAGTGAATGAAAAAAAACCCCAAAGCTAAGAGACAAAGCCACAAGAAGCGTGCCTACTCGGTCAAGGATAAAGAACAGATTGTTGAGCTCGTTGAAGGTGGTGCACGGAACATTGATATTGTGAGGAAACTGAACTGTCCTGAGTCTACAGTGCGAAATATTAAGAGGAACTTAGAGGAGACCAAGAAGAGTTTTGGGCCAGCTAAGAAATATTTCGGTAGTGATGGAAATACGAGGCGAGCTATGAATGATAAAGGCGATAGAAACAGGTTGTTAGTGATAACAGAGCATTTTCTTGTGAAATGGTTAGCTTGTAGAATGAAAGACAGTGCAAGTGTTAGCGGCCCTCAGATATGGAACAATCATCACACCAAGCACCTCAAAATCTCCCCCAAGCTAAGTGTTATATTACTCAAACTCTTTATTTTGACAATTGAATAATAATTCTTTTTATTTCTGCTAACAAAAAGTGTTAGGAGGGCTTTTAAGGGGAAAAATTTGGTGAAATTCTTGGGGCGGCGGCACCAATAAACCCTTTTTACATGTATTTTAATGTCACACAAATAACGTTTTCGCTAATAACGGTGTTTTTCAGGCACCTATTAGACGTTATTGGTGAGAGCCTACTGTATGGCTTTTTCACAGGAAAAAGTCTGTATAACTAACCCCAGTGGTCAGAATAATATGTACAGTACTGTATTTTTAGTGTTTTTTACATCATTATTTATCGGTTTTATATACTGTACATTAAGTGCATTTGCCGGAAGATTCAGACAATCTGCTTTTTCAGACAGGTGGTCTCCCCTTTTAGTCCAGATCTTTGAGGGCTCACTGTATATTATATAGTGACAGATGTTTCATAGGAACTTTTCAGTAATTTTCCTAAATTCTATACTGTACCAATCGAAAAATATTATAAAATAATATTACTAAACCAAGTTATTTCTGCCTTATATTACAAACTTTTATGGGTACAGTACAGTACATATAATATAACTTACTGGCCCCCTAAGTTGACAGCAAGAATTTCAAAAGCCTTGCTGAGTTGCTGTCGTTTGCTGTAAACTGTCTTCTTTACTTCATTCTGTAAAAAAAAAATTATGGATTCAGTAACTTCAGGAACACCTTCTAAACATTATATAACTTCACATGTATCAGGACAAGAGATGCTTGTGTGGTGCATTACTCACTTTACCTGACAACACACATTCTGGATGCTGTGTCCAATTTATATGTTGTATCTACAGTATTTCCCTTTGTGAATTCCAAGAGAATTAAAAGGTTTAAAATTAATATTCAACATTTATTTTACCAGCTGGCTGAAATTTTGGAAAATGTCTAACAAATCAGCAAGATCACCATGTTTACAATAAGGAAAACTTTTTGCCATATTGGAATACAGTATAAGTACAGTAAACCCTCAAACGTCCAGACAATTTGTGGAAAAAGGGGGTCCGGACATGCCAATTGTCCGATATTTTACATAGTGAGGGTTCTGGGGGTCACTGTGCAACTATGCAGCCACTCATTAGTGCCCCCTCCCCCAATAACTGTTAAATTTGTATTTTGATGTGCAATAAATGTCCTGAGTGTTTCCTTTTTAATTTTCCATTTATGTATAGTACAGTACAGTACAGTACAGTGGTCCCTCGGTTAATGAGCACAATCCGTTCTAGAAGGTTGCTCGTTAACCGAAAAACTCGTTAACCGAAACCATTGTTTCAATGGGTTTTTGGGTAACTGGTTCCAGCTCACCGAAAATTGCCTAAATTCAACAAAAAAGGTAGAAAAGTACACTTACTTTGAGGTGTGTATGTAGAAGGCTCCTGGATGATGATGGGAATTAGAATGGGGTGGAGGAGAAGGGAGAAGAGAAGGCATTGGGGTGTCAGAGAAGTCACCCCATGGTGCCATTTCACCCATAAAATTTTAGTTCTCTTGGTGTAATTCAAGATTATTTTCTTTAAATCAACACTGCACTGCATTATATATTGTCAATATGTAAAATAAATATCAAAATGCCAATAATTTGCTTACAAACACAGAAAAAAAGCGTTTAGTTGAAGAGTCTCAAACAAGATGTTACCTCCACTGAAAAGACACAGAGACTGATGCCTGTATGCTGTGTTGGCAGGCTGGATGGCGTGCCACAAACTAGTGACCCTACCTTCAATTATGTTCAATAATTGTAAAATGACTGAAAAATTTAATATTAAACTTTTAAAATTATTGAATAGTTTAAACTCCTTGATACTAAAAGGGTAAGGAATTTAAGCCCTAGAACCGATTACTGCATTGGGGGACTAATACTACAGCTGGTGGACCGCCAAATGCAAGCTAAAACATGTTCAGGTCGGTTCGTAAGAAACTCGTTAATCGAGGGATTGCTCGTTAACCGAAGTTAAGAATTTTATGGAAGGTAACTCGTTAACCGAAATCTCGTTAACCGAGGCGCTCGTTAACCGAGGGACCATTGTACAGTACTGTACTACAGTACAGTGCATAAATTTTTTTTTATTTCTTATAAAATATATTACCTTATTTATTATTAAAATATATACTGCATTGTCTTTACTGAGGATACTGTACAGTGGTCTAATCTGATTTTATATAAGCCGAACGAGAGCTAGTGGGTACAAGATGACACTTCAAGTGTAAACAGGCTGGAGATGGGGGGACTGGCTACTGCCGTGTTCACCAGTTTGTTTTGATTTATTCATTATTATATTCTCTTAATATCAGCCTCTCATGGTGTATGTTTCATCATTAATAATACAAAATATTAAATATTAGAAAAAATACAAGATACAGTAAAATTTGTAATCTTACTTATAAAATAAATGAAGGTGTGTGTGTGTGTGTGTGTGTGTGTGTGTGTGTGTGTGTGAAGAAATATATCCAGAACTATGAAATAAGAATAAATGTAATTTTGAAACTGTAATGATGCCCTTAATCAATTATTCTTTATTTGGGCTGAACTTATTACAACTGAATATATGAAGAAAATAATATGAATAAAGAGTAAAAGACTTACTTTGAGATGTTTTCTGTAGTTGTTGTAGATCACAGCAAGGATGATGTTCATGAAGATGAAGTAGCATATTATGAGGAATGCCACAAAGAAGATCACGTAGGCAATTGAATCATCAAATGCTGGCATCCTGATCATCAACAAGAATGTGCTTGTAATACAAATATCATAGCAGGTCACAAATTACATATATATGAATGCACACACACCCAGGTATACATGTAAAAGGATGCTAAAAACCCCAAAAAATACAGTCACACTTGTAAAAAATTTTGTGTAAAGTCACTCTCCCTTTCTCTGGCCAAAATATGAATATCCAGTGTCTGTACTTTGCATGTACAGTTGTCTCCAGGCGAGTTGTTACCCCTACCATACCTCACTTGTTCATGTGGCACTACTTTTCCCCATCTAGTTATTATATATCTTATTATATCACTTATGTTATTTGTATATTATTTGTAATTCGAAACTCATTCCCCAATTATGTAACTGTATATTTTCAGCCTCAAAGCTGCCAAGCTCTTTCAATAAACCGTTAATTATTATTATTATATTTACTTGTGTGGCAGAGAACTGAGTGATAGGGCAAGGGAGACACAGTAGGGGTAACAACACACCTCGAGGCTACTGTACAATACTATTACACACTTGAACCCCTCTAATTTGCCCTTCAATTTGATGTCGAATTACACAGCAATTTTTTAACATTGTGGTGACCCAAATATCCAAGTTTCATCAAAGTTATCAAATATTCCTACATGTTCAAAAAGATTAAATTTATAGTTCAACAAAGAAGAACACAACTTCAGATTTAGGCTTAGAGGGATGCATTGTCTATATGTTCTGTGCATGTAGGAGTCACGTAAGGTGAATAAATATCATTGTTTAATACAGTAATTTTTTACTTTAATTTTCCTTTTATCCTCTCCACCACCGATTGGCTCGTTAGCCGCTTGGGCGATCGGTCACGTCTCTGCTACGCACTGTTGGCAAGTACTGGGCATGCACTGGCTCCTGAATGTATCTGAATCTGTTCCAGTGTTGGTCAAGTCTGGTCTTGAAAGAGCTCACACTCAGTGCCATCACAACACTCTCTGGCAGATTGTTCCAAGAGTTCACTACTCTCACTCCAAAAATGTTACCCCACACAGTTTTCTGGATTTGCTGCTCTTCAACCTTGAGCTGTGACCCCTTGTAGGGTGAGCATCCACCAACTCCAGGTAAGGGCGCTCGACTGAGTAGTGCCCTTTGAGATGTTTATACACCTCAATTAGGTTAACCCTTGCCCGTCTGCAGCATAAGCTTGGCAATTTCAGGTGCTCTAATCTCTCAGGGTAGCTGAGGTGAAGTTGTGCAGGCACCAGTCTGTGACCCTCCTTTGGACATTTTCAATCAACTGACAGTCCCTAGTATATTTCGGGGACCAGAAAGGATGACAGTAATCCAGACGGGGAAGCACTTCACTCTTGAAGATCGTTACGAGGGACAGACCATCTAGATATCTGAACGACCTTCTTATAAGACCTAATAATTTAGTTGCCTCATTCACCTTCTTTTCGCAATGGCCAGAGAACTTCAACTTATTGTCAACATACACACCTCAGTCCTTTTCACATTCAGACTCAATTAATGCAGTTTATTCGTCCTGTTGGGACATATCATACACCTCCTTAACGTTGTGACGTCCCAAGTGCAGCCTCTTACACTTCGTGACATTGAATCTTAGCAGCCATTTCTTCGACCATTCTTGAAGCTCAGAGATCATTCTGCAGCTCTTCACAGTCTGCTTGGTTCTTAATTTCCCCAAATAACTTTGCATCATCCGCACCCATTTGTATGGAGGAGTGTACAACTGTACACGTCAGGCATGTCATTTATGAAGCAAACAAACAATAGCGAGCCCAATACATTGCCCTGTGGTACCCTGCTTGTGATGGGTACACATGGTGATTTCATGCCATTAGTCACCACACACTGTTTGTGGTCATGGAGAAAGTCTACGATCCACGCTAGGACACTTTCCCGAATCCCATACCCTTCCAGTTTAAATTTCACCCTTTCATGGGGGTATACTGTCGAAAGCCTTGGCAAAATCTAGGTATATATTGTCGATATTATCACCCTGCTCCAGAATTTGGGTCCAAATATCCAGTACCGTGTTGGTAGTCCTTAACAAGGTTGTTTCGTGGTAGATGTTCCATCATGGCATCACTTATAATGCTCTCAAGTACTTTACATACTATGCTGATTAGGCTCACCAGTCTATAGTTATTCGTGGAGTGACGATCGCCCTTCTTGAAGATTGGACTCATATAAGCCATTTTCCAATCACTGGGGACCTTTTGCTCAACCAGGCATTTACAGAACAGGATCTTCAGGGGCTCAGCAAGCTCGTTGCACAACTCTCTTAGCACTCTGGGATGCACCATGTCACGGCCAGGACTCTTATGAACCTTTAGCTTTGACAGTTCTAATTTTTGCATTGCTCCCCATGTACCAATTGTCTTTTGTGTGGAAAATTTTAGTTTTCTCTTAGAACTAACAATGCTTTACTTTATTTAAAAGCAGATGTAAGGTAGAATAATAAAGGTAAATTGAAACCCAATCAGTTTTGGACTGTCTGAATTACCCACTTGATTTGCTGAAAAAACTTTTATCTCAATAATTTAGATCCTTGGGTAATATGACAAAGGTAAAACCCCAAAGTTGTTATTTTAAAGACTTGAGTGTACAGTATACTGCATTAAAAATAATAATAAAAATGCACACAGACACACAGGTGCACACACACAAAATTTCACACCTTTATGTTCAACACAGCAATAAATCTACACTCTCTTTAATAAATATTCATAATGTCCTAATAAAATAAAGAGAACGACTCAATGTTCAACTCTTCATATACAGTTTAATATATCTTCATGGATTAGAACCAACAAAACCCTAAATACCATACAAATATCTTTACAGTATATGAGATCTAAACATAAGAGAACTTGCCCATTTCTTACATGATGTCTGGGTTGTTGGCAGTGGTGACCAAAACATAGAGGTCAAATATACTATCCCAATATGTCTGAAAGTATGGTCGGCCATTTACCCACTTCAGGCCCCTGAAAGAAAGCTTAAGGTTTAGAATAAGTATGGTTTAATATTTGTGTACATTTCACATATTCATTGATTTATACCTCACTAAATCTAACAACACTAAAGGATGGAATATGCTAAAACTTCCTCCCAGCATTACTATCCCAGCACAACACCACAAACTGCCACATAATTGTTCATAAATCTATACCCACTGTATATCTAAGATCTCATGATTTCCTTCTTTTACAATCAGATAATCTACAGAGCATCTCCATCAAATCCAAGAGTTACTTTGATTGACTAAATGATGGTTATATCTATTAGGGATGCCCTGGGACTTGGCTCCAGTCGGAACCTCAATTTTTAAAATGAAGTTTCGGTTCCATCCGGAACTTCAGTACAATAACCGGCCAGAACCAGAACTTTTTACAGTGGTACTGGTTACTGTTTCATAAATAAAATTATAAATCACTATAAATGATTCTTATTTCTAATGGATAATGAAGCATAAAAAAGTATTGAATGGTTAATGAATACAGATGTATGTGTAGCTAAAAAATTATTAAATTTTAAATCATATTTATTGTACTGTACATGAAACCTGATGTATTTAATAGTGCACTGTACAGTATATGTAAAATCAAAATCTGCATTATTATATATAATGATGATTTCTGATGCCCACTGTGAAAAAGGGCAGAAAACACTAAATCTGAGAATCTGATATATATTCTCTTCAATAAACTACTGCAGAAATAGATGGATAACCTTATTACTTAGTTAATACTAAGATGCAAATAAAAGTTCCAGTTGAAAATTAGACTGTTCCAGTCCTGTCCTTTTGTAATGAAAATATAAATGTAATCACACATACAGTGAAGGCATCAATAATACAAGGTTGCATGTTATCTAACAAGCTTGTGCGATTCACCTTTGAGCAACACTAGCCCTCTGTTTGGGAACCACTGCATTAAGTAAACAATAAATAACCTATGCCTTCATATTTGTAGTTTTAATTTGAAAAATTATTTTTAATTTTTTACATAGACCGATAATATCATACAGTACTAGGATTTTTGAGTGTAATGTATTTAAATAACTTGAACAGAACTTTAATAGCTATAACACTCTAAGTTCCGGCTACAGTCGGAACATTTTAAAAGTTCTGGAAAGTTCAGACCAGAACTTTATATTATGGTTCCCGTGCATGCCAAATATCTATACTGGGCAGTACAGTACTACTAATTATGACTAACTTATCTCTCTTGAGGTCCAGTGAAAGTTATCCCCCATAGACTCAGTGTTAGTGCAGGAAGACAGGGGAACACTCAGAGGGAACCTACAATGTTCAAAACAATCACACGGGACAAAACCTTTCTCTTATCCAACCACAATGGGGATTACATGCAAGTCACAGTGATGAGAGGCAAGTGCACTACTGCTAGACATCCATCTAGATGTCTGGCATCTCTTCACTTCTTCCTTTATTGACAATTACACATTGATTGCATTTTGGTTGTCAGTTGTACTAACTACACAGGTAATTAACAAAGTATTATAGATAACTAGTAATCATATGTACAGTCGTACCCCGCTTAACGCGGTTTCACTTAACGTGATTTCTCATATACGCGGTGCCTCGCCAGAACCAAACTTTCACTTAACGCGGTTCATCTACTCATATACGCGGGAAGCGGCGCGGGCACGATGCGCACAAGGCCGCCCAGTCATCAAAACATTACCGAGTTCTTCACCCGCCACCCACCACAGCCGGCCCAAGTCAGTGATAGTGATAATTATAGTGAGGATATGGACTTACAGTATATGGACTTTGAGTGGTTTGACAAAGAGGCCCTGCAAGCCTCTGTGGTGGATAGTGATACAATTGATACAAGTGATACAGGTGAGGGCCAATAATCTGCCCTCTGCCTCGGAACCAACCCCCCATCCCCGTGTGCCCAGCCATCTTTTCTACTAATGTAAGTGTTAAAAAACCTAATATTATTGATATTTCTCTTAATTATTAATTGTGTGTGCATACCATCATAAAGTTTAGATAATATTTTTACTACAACATAGTTGTGTGTCGTCAAAAAGTGGAGTTTGGGGGTCGGGCCAGTCTCTATTGGAATTAATCCCATATGTTCTGTTGTTCACTTAACGCGGTTTTCACTTAACGCGGTACCCTGTGGGTTCAATTGACCACGTTAAGCGGGGTGCAACTGTATGCAATCACTCTATGCTAATGCTTAAAAATAAGTGTACGTATACAATATTTGCTATGTAAAATAAAAATCTCAAACAAAATGCACCAATGATTTAAAGATGGCAAGAGTAAATATGCAATCACATAGTGAATGCTCAGTGATAGTATACAAAAAGCATGAGCTATAAGCACCTCAAGCGTATCCCAATAAATTTACTTTTTGGTAAAAAACTAGAAATGTTAGACATCAAATCTAAATGAGCATCAGCCATTTAAGTTAACCTCTGGCCATGAAACAGTCAAGTAAATAGAAAAATTAAGGTGTTATTGAACTGAACCATACTGAACACCCTCACCATCATCTATCCATATGTATTATTTTCAAGAAGAAAATTGTCCCTAGACTTTCCTTGGAAAAGTAAGATACCAAAAGTAATACAGCAGTTTGATGGGCAGTTAATCACAGTGTCTGGTAAAAACAAAAAAGTAATGCAGTTCTTTGCACCCTAAAAAGATCTTGAGACAATGTATACTCAGTAAGTGTGAAAGTACAGTACTGTACATAGAAGAATGGACTGTGTATGCTAGTGTGTAGAGGGTATATGTACAATCCCTCCTTCATGGAGGAAGAGAAGAGTGACAGTTAGCAACACCTGCTACAGGAGACGTTACAGGACGAAGGCAGGCCATCCTGTATCATCATATCACTATTTGGCCTGCCTGCATCACAAGCTCAAGATGACAGCATCTGCTGGTGAGTACAGTATATAGTAATGTACAGTATACAGTAGCGTATATAGCAGTATATTTTTATTTATAATATATTGTACGTTTACAGTGGTGCTTGCATAAATACAGCTGTGTCTGTCTGACTGCGGTTTAGTCACTCTGTGTGAGATGCATAGTTTAGACTCTAGTTAAACTTTCACCATTACCCAGAAAAATTGTGAGGATGTGCAATTTTTTCCGTGGATGAGAAAATTTGTCTCCATACTGTACTGTATATTTGGAATTCTTTCATATCCGGAACCGCTCTGTAACAATCACTCCAGCTAATGGGGATATTACTATGTGTATTTTTAGTGTTTACCAGAGTCTTGTGCTACCAAACTATATTTTATATACCAAATCCTCTACTGAACCTCTCCTCAAATATTTAAAATATTCACATTCCTATATATTACTGTATTACAGTGCTCTACTGTAACTAAGAAATAAAGAAAATATAACATAAACTATAAAATAGGACAAATAAAGAGTGGAAAGTGAATTATGTAGAGAGGAGAAGGTAGGTAAGGCAGTTGAGGGTGGAATGACTCAACAAAAGTGACCCCTCTCTTCCATCATCCCACCGCCATTAAAATGACATTACGTAATTTTACCATAATTCCCATATTAATTTGGTTCATTTGGTGCCGGGTTAATAAAAAATTATATTAAAATAATTTTGCACAAGGAAAAATTACATACTTAACCCCAGATGAGTTATTGTGTTCTATTAAATTCCTGGCAATCTGCTTATATAGATGAACAGCTGACCAGCCAGCCAGCCAGGGAAGGAGCTGTTTATGTAATATAGAACTATTTTTTACATTATCTTTGTGTTACTGTATTTTTTATCTCTTATGCATGATATTGTTACCAAGCTGAATTTTATATAACAATAAAATCTGGTATTGTGACAATATGTCTGGACTAAAAATACCAAACTTTTTCATACACAGTAAGCCAAACAAAAGTTCGGTATTGGGCGAGTTTTTTAGATTCGTTTTATACCAAAAAATTCCCTCTACCGAACTGGCTGCTCACCCATTAATTTGGTATAGGTAATACTGTAGTGAAAATCCAAATTCAACTTCCAAATTTAAAAAAAAATTAGTCCAAGTGTTTCAGTACTGGACACTCTGTCTCTCTCTGACTATAAATAAGATCTTTGACATACATTCTCAACAATCATGTCTGTTTGTTATCAACTAAGAGCCAAGTTATACTCTCAATCCACCTTCAGCAGACAGAATATGGAGACAACAATCACAGACAGTTATAGATAAATATACAGAAGTCACATTAAAAAGAAAACTACCTGTATCTCTGAAGCTTAAAAATAATTCCAACCCTAAAACTTTCTTAAAAAGAAAACTAAGCTTCCCAATTACATTAATAATCAATAGTAGTGTCAAATAAGAATAATATCATGGGTTATCAATGTATGCAACTGCAAAAAAAAAAGCAGAAATATATTAGTATAAAGCCATTACACCATATCTAACCTGTCCCCAAATAGCTTGAAAGCCATGAGAGCAAATATAGCCAAACTGAAGAAGAAGAGAAATAGTACATTGACCACATCAGGGAGTGTTCGTCGGAGGTTACGGAAGGACCTCCTGATCTGACGCATCTCAGGAAAATTCACAACAAACAGAGGCCGCAGAACTCTAGACCACCTGAAAAATTTTTGGTTACATAAGGGTGTATGTATGACAATGTGTGATAGTACATGTATACATTAACATGGATGTGATAGTATTACATTATCCTAAACTTCTGTTATTAAATTCATATTTATTTAAGATCTTGAAATAGAAAATTTAAAAAGAGAAAGAAAAAAAAAATCAGATTCTAATATTACCCAATAAATCATTGACTCTAATGCTACCAATGAAACTATAAAATATCTACAGTAATTCTGCAATGCTTACTCTTACCGCTTAATTAAAAATACCAAAGACATCTATTAATTTAACCTACTGGACAAACTGTATGATTATTGTTTAAAGGAAAAAGGGATTATAAGTATTATACAGTACTGTAATACTATACTGGTAATACAGGTTGTACCTCTCTAGTCCAGCAACATCGGGACCTGACCGGTGCCGGACCATGGAAATTGCCGGACCATGGAAATTCACCCTTTTCCTGGATAGATAGTGACTTGTGCTTATGCTTGGAAGCACTAGCACCACTTTCTCTGCATCATGGTCTCTTTGAAGACATATTGAAGGGTTAAATATCGTACAGTAGCTTCTCAAATTTCGCGAGTTTTTAATTCTTAACGTATTTTATTGGAACACAAAAAAATATATAAATAAAAATTTTGACGGCGGAAACTTGAATTTCGACGGGTTTGAACGGCCCGCCAACGTGCAGACGACATGCATAATCGTGTAAACAGCGTCATTTCTCTTATGTACAAAAGATTCATTATTGTTTATTACTGAATGTCTTTTTTATTGAATTAATGTTTATGTGTGCAAAATGAGCAATACAATTCATTAATAATACGTAGAATATTAAAACACACGAGGAAATGACACAGCATTGTTTTCGTTGATTACAAAACCAGTGACTGACTGGTTCCACATATAAAACTGAAGAAAATAAGACCCTGGCTGTAGCTGTAGTAAAATAAATATGGTTGTTTTAAGTAATGTTATTTAATGTTAATAAATGGAACAATAGAAGTAGCTAACCATTAATGGTAAAAAAAAAGTGAGACTGCGCGTATGTAAGTGCGCACATGTGAAAACATATAGTCATTACTCTACATAAGAATATGAAAGCAACACTTATTTACTGCTCATATATATATTGAAGGGTTAAATGTTGTACTCTGTATAGACAAGCAGAGAGAGAGAGAGAGAGAGAGAGAAAGAGAGCAGCCAAACTGCCGGATGTAAACAAACCTTAATTTCCCGCGGCTTTTTTTTTTTTTAAGGGTATTAGCCCACCTGGGCATAGGTCACTGACCCACATTGGGGCCTGAGGGGCAAAAATTTAATACTCCTGTAATAATAATAATAATGCCAGACTAGAGAGGTACAACCTGTAGTAGCATCCAGTACAGTATATATTAAGTAATTATAGTACAGTACGTGTACTTTGAAACCACAGAGAACACATGATTGTTCCCATTAATACGTATTACGAAAATCAGTTGTAAATGCATTAATACTAGCCTAACTTATACAACACAATACAGTACTGCCCTATTCTAAGATTGGTATACAGTATCCCATCCGAGTTTATATTTCTGCCCCATTGGTTAGTCATACAATAAACAAAACATTACTAAGCAAGTACTGAATAACTACCGGTATACTGTTTGTACCAGAATGGCAAACTGTTAAAAAGCATGGACAGTAAGCCCTAAGTACTGTATTCTATATAATGCCACAATTAAAATTTTACCAAATTTAAAAATACTCAGACATAAAGCAACAATTACAATTTTCTTTTATATCACTTCTATTTTCTTTATGATTTTTTTAGAATTACATAAGTAACCTACTAGAATAGCATGCCCTAGATTATTTGGTAAGAAACACAATACATTGTACTGTTCTCTAGTTATCATGCATTACATCATTCAATCTTGTATATTCCTATTTGTACATGCCAAGGAAGATGGTGGATGCAAAATTTACTCAAAAACACTGGTAATCACTCTTTTCATTGGAGACCTCGAATGTCAAGAGATGAAACAGAGAAACATTTAAACTAAGTGGCCTTACTGCCTCAAATAAGCTTAATATTAAAGTGAAAGAAGCTGGAGGTAATCTTCAAGTAATCTGGCAAATATTTTAAGCTCGAAAGGGCTCCCACCATAGGAGAGAATGGTCATGATCAGTTACCAGAATATTTTGAAAAGATTTCACATGTCATCCATTTTGAATGATGACAAAACCGTAGAAAATACAAACATGTAGAGATAGAGAATAGTAGAAAACAACAGATCCTTTATGTGCAAAATCAAAACATAATGCAATCTGATAAAAGTCAAAATAAATAATTACACTTACCGAATACCATAGTGGCCAGTCTCTACTAGTCCAATATATATAACCATGTCTAAAAAAGTAAGCTGAAAAATTATCAAAAATAAGTTATGGAACAAACAAGCAGTTAAAAAGGCATACTACAATAAAATAATGAAAAATAAAACTTATGAAATACAAGAGACCAGGAATAAGGATTCAAGCAATTATTAGAAGTCAAAAGTTAAGGCTAAGTTTTGCATAATATTAGTTTCTAGTATATATTTGTGCTTCAGAATTATCAATGCGCAATGGTAACAAATATCAATGTCCGGTTAACAAGCCAGGGATAAATGAATGAGGAGATTTTCTACTGTAGTTATATTTCCTGTTAAAAATATCAACTTGCAAAAGACAAATTAAGAAAACTCAAAGCATTCAAATTAAATTTTTACTTAGCCAACCATGCAGAATAAGCAAGATGCTCATATAAAAGTTAAAATTACCATTTCAAACAAAGCTTAACTACAATTCAAGCAGAAGAGCAGGGAATTATAGCATAAATCATATTTCAGTGCAACATTTGAAACACAAAAACCATGAACATGTAAATGTTGGAATACTTACACCAACAAATACTATGATCAAAATATTCTTAGTATCTGACCAGAAGCGGGTAAGAGGAGTGAAGACACTGATGTGTATAAGTCGAAAAAGATAGAAGAACATAATACCTATTTCCATTGTGATAGTTATCTGTAAAAGAAAAAATACAAGTTAACATATTATTATAGTGCATATATAGCAAAATTATAAGCCTCTTCAGTTCATATTCTGTTATACTATAAAACTAAGGAGAAGTGTGAAGGGTATTTTTGTGTAGGAGAGTGAGGTGTTCTATAAGAGAAAGAGAACACTATCTTTACCATCATGCAATACACAACAATATGGTTATAGCTATACACAAATACAGATTAGGAAAAAGTGTTTTGGCTATACAAAAGGTAGTAAATGTGAGGGATGGCTGGAGGTACAGTTAAATGATTATGACTGTCAACTTGGAAATTCAAGTGAGTGACAACAGTTAGTGACTAGATTGCAGATACTGGTACATACACCAAGTAATCTAACTGGAGAATGCCCTAGAAAGTAAAGAGTTGGTTGAAGAGAGACTTCTTTATACAGTGACAAAACCTTACACAACAGGTATCATCAATTTTAAAGATACAGATTGGCTGAAACTTTAGAAAAAATCCAAGGTGGGAATATTAAAGCTGCCAGAATGCATTTAAACCCTAATGGGTGCCTGGGTATTAAAAAAGAATAATCTGTTAGGCTACAGGAGGTAATAATATTCTAAATTCATAAGAACAAATATAAAAATATGAAAGAAAGACAAACTCACAAAATAGAGTGATTTCTGGGGAAGGGTGAGCAGCTGAGGGGCAATTAGGGTTTGTGTGAGGTGAAGGTGAACAAAACTTGGGGCCTTGTTGTGGATAAGAAGTACCATGGCAGAACAAATCTTTTACAGCTATACAAATGAATGAATCAATCAATCAAAACAAATGAAGGGAAGGTGTGCATGTGTGTGTATTTGCTATTGATTCCAGCTAGTAGGTTATCCGACCCCCTTGGGGAATTCATCAAAAGGTTATCCCACCATTGGCAAGTATAACTGACAGTGTATTCAACTTAATACTAGCTGTGTAAGGACAAGTGTACAAGGAGGAAACCTTGCAATAAATGAAGCATTGAATATCTTCCTGAACAATAATTTCCACTTTATCATCTTTTTCGTCTCCTTTCGTACAACACATGCAAGACATAGAAGGTCTCATTTTAAGGATAATGTTATCAACACAAAGGTTTACACCACTCACCCAGTATTTTAAACTTAAGCCGTGTACTGCTGGCTTCTCAAAGAGTGCTAAGGAGAGGTGGAGGAAAAGTATACAATACAGCACGATTTGCCCCCATTTACTCTGGTACATGTGGTATAATCTGAAATATAGTTCAACACGGAGTCAGAAAACACATCTGGTAAAAAAAATAATAATGCATGAAACATAAAAAAATAACAGGTTTGAAACAATTATGAATTTTTAATCTTCCTGAGCTATCATACAAAGTCAAGAAAGTCAAATACAGCTCCTCCCCGACTTACGACCTGGATTTGGGTCCCTAACCCCGTCATAAGTCGGGGAGGAGCTGTATTTGACTTATCTGAATGAAACAACAAAACACCTTTACTTCTTTCAAGTGTAAATCCCTCAACAGCTTCCTCCCCTTTTACCACATCAATTCCCCTACTACCCTTCTCACCAACCACAACCTCCTTCACTATTACTGTACACTATTACCTGTCTCACCAAACACCTCTTCCTCCTCTATCACATCACCACACCCTTTACAACATGCCTCACTCAAATTGCTCCAGTTTTTCATACATCTTATGTCTCATAAGTTGGGTTCACTACAATTCTCATATTGCTAACCAAATACAGTACAACTTCTAATAAAATAGAATGAGATAAAACATCTTTAAAACACATTATGCTGGAGAATAAAACTTTCATACTAGTGTTGAATATTGTGTGAAGGAACAAACAAAAATATATAAAAATTATATTTATGATTTCTTAAATATTCTTTCTTCCTACATTTCTTACATTATATGTCATAACCCTTTGAACTCCAGCTTATTGAATTACAACTGCCAAATTACCATCTTTATCTTAGTTAGTGACTTACTTCAAATGCCTCTCAGAGACTTTGAAGTCAGAGTGTCTACCATCTCTTGCATCTTCAACATAAGTTGCAGCAAGTAAAAGATTCTGTAATATAAATAAGACTTTTTACATCATGTCAATTATTTTATGTTACATATTAAAAAATAAACAGAATGAAGAATATTAATAGTTAAAATCTGTAAAATAAAAATATATTTTCTTACTATAAAGCATAAGAGATATGTGATTCTGTAAGGAAAATAAATCTTCAATAGACAGTGCATCTAGTGAGCAATTCAATAGAGTGACAGCCTCTAGAATGAGAGGAGCCCATGATGAATTACCAGTTGGACCACATTTTTTACAGAGAACATGGGGTTTCAAAAGGAAGTTGCTAGACTCAAAAAATATGCTTAATAAGGAATGGAAAATGGCAACAAGACATTTGCTGCTAGTGTTTTAGAGGGATATAAACTGCGTGTAATGGTTGTAAAAGTATAGGATAATAGTTTATTACAGCATTTTAGAAACCTTTATTTTTTGTGGACCTCCCCCACCCCCCCTTTTTTGTGCATATGGGGGGGGGGATCTGCTAGAATTTCTAGGGACCAGATATGAATTCTTATTTTACCACGAAAAGTTAACTTTAAAAGATAAAGATCAGTTAGAGAAAGTGACTCTGGAACTGAACCTCATACTCTACTGAGAGCCTCAAGTACTTGGTACAGTATGTAGATTTTCTTTAAATATTTCTATAAAAATAATGAACTTTTATCACAAGTTCAACCGAAACTCATCAAAGCAAAATACAGTTCTGTAATCCTTTTGAGTAACTTACTAAATCTGATACAGGAGGTACATCTGTACTGTCAATAGCAGTGCTTCCATCAGCAATATTAGAGACTTCAATCGTTTCTGCCTCTGGCTTATAGATAACACTTATTGGAGTGGAATCATGGTCCACTTTATTTTTACGAAGCTGTAGTGAAGATGTTCTTCTGTGGTGCACTGAAAAACCATAAGTGTAAATGAATGTTGCAATTATAAAATTGTCTTTCTATGTGTATAATTCATGAAGTGTAAACCCAATACTGTATATATCAAGCATAAAGTGCATATCAAATCCATGAATGGTGCAATAAGAATAATAAATGTCTGAATGTAAGGAGTTAATGGCTGCATAACAATGACAACTGTGCCAAACCTAAGTCACACACAATGTTTTTATATTCAATGCCACCAAGGCAATTACAATTATGTTTGTTCAAATGAGCCCGACAAAATATTAGCTTTTCTATACCACACCCCTGCACCCTCCCTAAATCTATCACGTGTCAAGGATAAACAATACAGTATAGGCAGACAAGGTTAAATAAGACATTCCAGTATAGTACAGTATACAGTATAATTGTTAAGGTTCTGCATTTTCACTGTAATAGTATATAAATTGTATTGTTACTATGAACATAATTTTCTATACTGCAATTACATTTTGTAATTAATTACAACTATTTAACAATTATATTTACAAATTACAATTACCCCATGCCATGCCTTTCTCTGTTATGAAATTCCCTTCTCTCTAAAAAGTTTTTCATATATGTACTGTACCTACAATCAACACTTTTTTAAAAGAAAAACAAAGACCCAACTTGTGCCACACAACTTAACAGGCCAATGACCTATGCTCGGGTGGGCTATTCACCATAAAAAAGAAAACATATTTCTATCTTGTCTATTTATGCCAAGCCAGGCAAGAATTTCTATAATACCAGTCACTCTATCACTAATATAACCCTTCTGTAAGCACAATGTCATATGTAGGTTGCCTCCTTTAGTCCCACACATTACTTAAAAAATGAGCAACCTCCTCAAAACACACTATCAGCAGCACCACAAATTTCTCCTCATTTATAAATTGAGCTTACAAAGTGCACTGACAAATTTGCCCTGCCACCATCTTTTCCTCTATGCTGTAACTATGGAATCTTACACAAAAAATACAATATATTGTAACATAAAATTCCCTTCCCAATACCTTTGGAAGCTGAAGCCTCAACATTATTAGAGGCAAGTTGATCAGCATTGCTTTCATTTTCAATTATCACTTCTGTAATGTTGTTGTTATCATTTATGCTTTCCATCTGTCTGGCTGTTTCCTTGTGTTCTGTGGGAAAACAATCAACTTTTGTATCCGTGTCTGAGATCCTGCTATTTTTTCATGGTCTCTGAAAGAGAATTATCATATTTATAACATTCAAAAGCTGCAGTTACCCAGAGATTAATACTAAGCCCTGGTAAGTAGATTAATAAATTGTTCAGGTAAAGCATGCTGTGGGATGGTAAATGTAAATTCAGTAAAAGTAAAATGCTTGGGTTGAAACTTAGTACAAAACTACACTAGTCAAGACAACCAAGATATCAAAATTAGTAAAACTTGGTACAGTAACCCTGTTGAAAATACAGTACAACACAATACAGTATCTCAAAAAGTGTCTGCCCTCACTCTGTGTAAAACATTTTGAGACCACAGATGATAGATATTGGGGTATGCATTTACTTTGGTATACTGTATAGTTTAACATAAGTAATGCAATGTTTATTTATTTCGGCATATTTAATATGATGTACGGTTTCCAAATGTAGTAGGACCAGTATGCCACAGAGCCATGCATGCCAACCTCCTGGGATGTCACAAGTTGCATGGAAAATATCCTGACAGATACGTTTTGAGATACTGTAAATACAGTACAGTATATCAAATACCGTACTACACAACAAATAATAAAAGCTACAATATGCAAATTATGACTCAATTCAATAAGGAGTGGGATACCTTAAGAAATGTGGCTTCAAGGCATTCATTGTATAATTTGTCACTTGTCTTCAAGGATGGCCCCTAGAATTTAAATTACTTAAGGAGCATAATCTCTCGCCAGCACAACAACTCCCAGAGTGTTAACAAGTTGTACAATCCAGTGTCAAGGAATAACAATAATAAGACCATAGAACTCACCAAATGCACAAGCTAAGATTACCCCAGAATAAAGTCTGCCAAATGATTAACATCCAGGCTCCCAACTAATTTGCCTTAGTTCTACCCTATCTGGGGATCGAATCCAGGGCCACTAACTTTTGAGGCAAGTATGGTAGCTCCTACACCAGTGCACCTCTACACCATCAATATGGCTTTGTTACTTTTACTTTTATCCTCTTCACCAATGATCGGCTCTTAGCCATTTGGGAGATTGGTCACATCTCTGTTATGCACTGTTGGCAAGTACTGGGCATGCACCGACTCCTGAATGTACTTGAACCTGCTCCAGTGTTGGCCAAGTCTGGTCTTGAAAGAGCTCACACTCAGTACCGTCACAAAACTTTCTGGCAGATTGTTCCAAGAGTTCACTACTCTCACTCCGAAAAAGTTTGCCCTCACAGTTTTCTGGATCTGCAGCTTCTTTCAGCCTTGAGCTGTGACTCCTTGTGGGGTCACATAAGGAGTTTTATCAATTCATGTATGTACTGACTTGTGGAGTCTATAGCTACAGCTTTAAACAGAGAATTGGAGATGGAAACTGTAACAAGTTTTATAAGTTATTATTTTACTTTCGGTCATCCGGGGAATCTTAGAACTATAACTAGGGGGTCTGGGGGGGTGAAGCCCTGCTGGTTAGATTAGATATAGTTCCTGGGTTCTGTGGCTAGGTTAGGTTAGATTGGTTAGGTTGGTTGGGTTAGGTTGGTTAAATTAGGTTTCACTAGGTTAAGTTGGTTAGGTTAGGTTTCGGTCATCCAGCGAAGTTTAGTAAGTTCGGATAGGTTTTTCATGTGAAAAAAGGTGATGCGTGGATAACGAAAAATAACCATAAGAATTAACTTAGGTAAAATTTTAGGGTAAAATTATCGATTCAGTCATCCATCTATTTGGAACCTAACCTAACCTAAAACCAAGAAAACTAGCCAAAAAATATACTTTTCATGTGAAAAAAGGTGATGGGTGGATAACGAAAAATAGCCAGTCTCATTACTAAGTTCAAGCCCTTCTAAAAATTTACCATTAAAAACAAAAGTGGCCCAAGTACTAAACCTTCAAAAACTCCATCTAAGATTCATGGCATTTCCGAATATTAACACAATAACTCACATATTACACCGAGAGATAGAACGTGTACCATGGTATCATTATTAAATTTACATGTCTTATAAAAGTTACTATTTTATTGTACTGTACCACGAAATTACCTGTTACACTTTTACCAATTGAAGTTCTGCTATAAATCAACATAGAAGAAATATCTACACGTTTTGTGTTAGGAGCCACTAGAGATATAATATTGGTGATCGTTTAACTATTTTACCAAAAGAGATTATATATGTATAAGGCTTACCTTGATTAATATTTAGTGACACTCGTGCTCTGGCCAAAAGGTCACCACCTCCCTTCTGTCATTGAGTGTTTACATGGGGGCGGAGTCACTAATTCCGAGTTATGCAGTTTCTAAAAAAAAAATGTGTTTATGTCATACCCTACATAATTAATGACAATTTATATTACTCTGGTTGTATAAATTGTTTCACTGAATTATATTTTAAATTTCAATAAGGAAAAACTGGTTTTCTCAAATTCGCTGTTTTGTAATCTGGAAACAAATTTACACACTGTAAGCGTGTTATTTAATATAATAGCGAACACTGTCAGTGTAACGTATGTGTGTGACGAAATTTTCATTTAACAATTTTAAAGGACATATTTGCTAATTACAATTTCCAGTTTCATTTATGATCAATCAATTTTTAGACAATAAAATTGCTTAATATTTAACAAGTCTCTTGAGACTTCACCAACACACGTACGAAGAAAGCAACACGTATGCTTTATCGTACATTTTATAAATAGATAAACAATTAAAACTAGAAAGGAAGTCACAGAAAGTGAGAGAGTGCCTCTAAAGCAAATTGCCTCTGCCTTGTACTATTGTGTGATCGGCTTATATAATTTAGCGCAAATACTGGTACTGTACATGAGAGAGAGGCATATTGAATACCAAAAACTGTCAGGTCTTTTTGTGGGCCTGGTAGCTAGGCCCCAGATTCCCAGAGTTGTACTGAACATTTTTTTTACTCAACGAGAGGGAAAGGCATCAACTGTATTTACGACAGTCACTGGAACAATTTCTTTCATTTTGGTCGCTATCTTTCTTGTGCTGGAGTTCAATTGAACCAGCTAGAAGGGATTTAATATATCCAAATAGTTTTTTTATTACGATCTTCTGAGACTTACAAGCAATGTTGACGTGATCTTATAATTTCTGGTGGATATTACCCGATTCCTTCTCGTTTCGTATTGATAAGATTACAGACAGAAAACAATAAAACATTCCTGAGGCAGAAACAATTTTATAAGGTATATAATTAAAAGAAAAAAGTAACAATAAGAAATAGTCCATGAAAATTAGTGCTGGGCTTCAACACGAGCTGAGGTATAATAACAGCTCTTGTTAAAAGACAAGGACAGGGAGTTCCACCACAATCCTGGTTTTACTGCCGTAAGTTCTAATGTAAAGCGAGAGAGAGTAGCGGGGTCAGAAAGGGGGAAGAAGATAAAGGGAAAGAAGAAGAAGAATAGGGGGTAAAGACGGAGAAAGGAGGGAAAGAGAGGGAAGGAATAGAGGGGGAGAGAATAACTACCCCTGAAACAAACCAACCTAAAGACCTTGCTCTCTCCTGCATCGTCATCCTTAGAGTGTAAACAAAAACAGAAACATTAGCAAACTGGCGGGAAACTGTAAAAAGGTTTTGGTGGAGACCTTCAGATAAGCTGAGTGTGATGGGCTGTTTGTTACTCTAGAAAAATGTTGTTTTTAGGAAGACTGGCGGGAGATTGTTGATGGGTTTCTCCCGCTGCGGCTGTTCTCCCCCTCCCCTCTCTCTCTCTCTCACAGTTTGTAAGTAGTCTCTTCCCATTTCCTTCGTTATTATCTTTTTTCTCATTTTACACCAGTCTCTCTCTCTCTCTCTCTCTCTCTCTCTCTCTCTTTCAGTATCCTTGACTGGCCGTGCAGATCCAGGGCAACATCCAGAATTCAGGCTCGCTCCTACACACTCTGAACACTACACCTATATAAATATAACTCAAGGTACATTTTTTTAACACTCTTGAATCTATTAATACTTACATTAAGTTGGCAAGTTTACCATAATCTTAACTAAATACGAGGGTCGGATATACAGACGCTCATTTAGGTATGCTTGAGTCTTGAGTGACATTTCGGTGCAGAATCTGGTTTAATGATTGTTGAGAATGGTGTCACTGGGAGGTCAATAGATAGATAGATAGATTGGCAAACAGAAAGACAGATAGATAGAGAGATAGATAGATAGGTTGACAGGCAAACAGACAGTCAAACATACTGTATACATAGACTGTAGACAAACAGTTTAACAAATGACTAGAAAAATACATAGATAAACAAACAGATACAGTCAAACTTATAAATAGACAGATAAACATATGGATAGACAGATGATTAGGAAGACAAACAGACATATAGACAAACTGACAGACACATAAAGGCTAATAACATGTGTTGCTAGTACAATTTTCTCACACTTTCTAAATTCCTTATCCTAGGGATCATTTTCATGTAAGTATTCGTCTATGGTAGTTTCTATAACCGCGGCACTGCTTTAGAAGGGGGGTGGAGGGGAATTCGTTGGGTGCTGCTGATTGCTCGCAGTGGCGAAGTTATTTACGACTGACATGTTATTTAAACTCAACAGACAACGAAAAGGAAAATCACAGGACCTAGTGTTGTCTTTTATCCATTTTGTTTACTCTTTCCACATCTTTATTAGTCAGTCTTTATCTTCTGTTTACAAAAAATCAAACTGGACGAATACGGAATTCGGAGGAGGGAAGGGAGCTTTCTATCCTGCATAGGAGACTCTTGATGACGCAAGCAGTGCGTGGTGATTAATGACACGAAATCATCATGTGTACCCGTGACAAGCGGAGTACCAGAGGGCAATGTATTGGGCCCGCTGTTTTTTGTTTGTTTCGTAAATGTCATGCCAGAAGCTATACATTCTTCCATACTAATGTTTGCGGGCGATGCTAAGTTATTCAGGGGTGACAGCTTAAGGTTGAAGAAGCCACAGGTTCACAAAATTGTCAGGGCAAACCTTTTTTTAGGGTGAAAGTTGTGAAATTTTGGAATCGTAAGCCAGAGAGTGTTGTGACGGCACCGAGTATGAGCTCATTCAAGACCAGACTTGAGCAACACTGGAGCAAGTACAAATAAATTCAGGAGCCAGTACATGCCTAATACTTGCCAACAGTGCGTAACAGAGACATGGCCGACCGCCCAAGCGGCTATCGGGCCGATCAGTGGCGAAGTGGATAAAGTGAAGTAATTTTCGCATCTTATTGGTCAGTCTTTATCTTCTGTTCACTATTTCCTCATCCATCAGTCAGATCAGGAAAGGAGTGAGAAGTTTACTGAAGACGTAACTCGCATACTCTTTCACCCCCCTCCCCGTAGTTTACTGTACATCTCACCCCTACTCCTCCAACCCTGTCGTAAGTCTCCCTTCCCTCACACTCACACACACAAGAGGGTAGGTACTCAGAGCGTTTAGGGGCAATTAAAAGAATAAATAAACAAAACTACATAAAAGTGACCCCGACATAGCGTTTTCTTAAGATCTAAGCATCACCCCTATTTCAGGGCCGGATTCAGGAGTGGACAAAGTGGGCAGCTGCCCAGGGGCCTCCACAATCTGGGGGCTTCCACATATTACAATATTTTATTTATTTGTTTATTCATTTGGATTATTTTTATTTTCATTCTTTAAAATTCATGTTTATCTATTCCATCACGTAAAACTATGTTCAGCAAGAAGCGTGATAGAAATTAGGCTAGCTACTCCTTGATATAACTGCATATGGCTTCAAAATTTTCCAGGGGGGCTTACAGCGCCCCCCGGAACTCCCAGATGTTTAGGCTCGCTTCACTCGCCACCCCACCCTCTTGGGTAGTTATAATGAGGGGGGCCTCCACAAAGAGGCTGCCCATGGGCCTCCACAGGTCTAAATCCGGCACTGCCCTATTTACTTCAAAACTTCAGCGTCATCCCATTTTCTGCAGAACTTAACTATCAATCCAATTTTCTTTGTTATTTAAGCTTCGTGGCATTTCCTTTGCCATTTCATAAAGTCTGGTGGTTGGGGAGGCGGCTGTTGTTGTCAGCTTGTAGTGATAACAAAATGTCAACCGGAAAAGTGTCTTCCTTGAACCAGTGTGTCAGCGTGTTTGATGATGCCTGTGTGTCTGTCTATTTGTCTGTCTGAATTATCTGTGTGTGTGTGTGGGGAGGGGGGGTATTTATCAGTCTGAGTAATAATCATCTCGAACTCAGAGTATTTACAAAGTTAATGTCTTCGTCATCTCTCTACGGAGTTCAAATTTCCAAACGCAGGAATTCTTTCGTCATAAGAACCTGTTACCAACGTGGACGTGGTGTAGCGTTTCTCCAGGGGTCGCCAGAAGGTGTAGGCCTTCCACAGTCATTGATACATGAGTAGTTACATGACACGGTCGCCAGAAAGTATAGGTCCACACACACACACACACAGTATGGCAAGAGACCAGCCCGGGCCATCAACTGTAAACTATAATAATTTGTATGTTCAAATCATGTTCGTTCTCCTTTCAGTAATGAAAGCTTTTGTTAAACGACCCACCTACCCCATGTCTGTATGTAATAAGTCATTTTTGTCTACTGTATAATTTCAGCCTTCGGGCTGCAGAACTTTCTCAATAAACAGTATTATTATTATTATTATTATTATTATTATTATTATTATTATTATTATTATTATTATTATTATTATTATTATTATTATTATTATCATATTATTATTATTATTATTATTACACACACACACACACAAATATATACGACACAGTTTTACTCCTCAACCTTTATATTAAGTAAGACAATAAAGAAAAACTAAAATACAAAAACCAGACGTAAATTTATTCCACAAGTTGTACCCCTGTTGCAATGGCGGGCACAGTGAAGTACAGTCGACAATAAACATTAATTAACTGACGGTAAGAGACACGTACACATGTAATGTTTGTTTCTAATTTTACTATACTACGTTGAGTCTTTCTCTTTAATTAGTGTAAGGGAACTCATCTCATTATAGTTGAAGTCTAACGGCAATTATGACGCGATTTTGGCAGTCATTAGATATATAAACATTGGTTCAGTATGTACATAATGTTCATAGTGCAGGTATAGTCCAACAAATCCGTTAACAGCTTATTTCCACCGTTAACAGCTTATTTCCATCTTTCTGTTGTGGAGAGAGAGAGAGAGAGGAAGAGTGCATTTCTCCCTGCAGTGGCCTCAATGTGGCGTCTGTTTTGATAATCAGGGTCTTCCTGTAGTTCTTGCTAGTTTGCTTTATATCCTATTTATCAAACTGGT